GAAACTCAGACAAAATCCTACCAGTAATCTGTTTCCTGCAGCCAAAATCAGTTGCGTTCCATCAGGCTTAAAGGCGAGGTCATATATACTAAACAGGAGACAAGACAAGACAAAGAAACAATTAAGAACCCAAACCATGAGATCTGCTAATGGCCAGGAAAGCAAACTTTGTTTCCATTATGAAACACTTGTGTGTAGTATGGGGAGAAAAATAATGGCTAAGAATCACATTTGGTTGCAAATTCCATTCAACCACCATAGCTTGGCAGTCCGTTAAATCATGATCCATGAGGCAGTTAGCGCTGTGTCCCAATTTCCTCTTGTCCAGAAGCCAGACGCCAGAAATGACTCAAAGGGTCAACAGCTGAGGGCACTAACTCTTCTGAGAATACCGTTAAAGGCTAGACTAACTGAGAAACGTGAAGGCTAGTAAATCTGTGCAGATATTCAGTGTCCGGTGGGCGCTGGGCACTACTAGATACAAGATGAGTCGAGTCCCTCCCTGCCCTCAAGGAAAGTACCACCCAGTGGGAAGCTGTTACAGAGAAGGACTACAGCAGGAGGCACGTTGTTTATGCAGTGATACCCGCTGGCTGACGGAGAGCAGGAACAGGTGATGGCTACATGCGTTCCAGCTGGGCATGCTTCTGGACGAAGCAAACTCGGGCTTGGAGTTCTCCAGCTTCCTCTCGTATTATGTAGAAACAGATCGGGGCCTTATTTCTTGCACTTTCTTTCTTGGAACCCATGGTAAATGCCCTTGGCACATTTCACATTCGAAGCACAGGGGAGGTAAAAAAAATCTTATCTTTCATCTGGGCTGTCATCCTCACCTATAAAACAAGGAGAGATGCCTTCCCCCCTCACAGTGTACACAAGCCAGCCTTGCAAGTAACAGCTGACACCTGTGGGTTGCTGCGATGGAGTACGAAAAAAGGGGTCTGCACCTCTCACCTGTAATTGCCCTTGGGTATGTGGCTGCCCTTTGCCCTGCACACATCTGAGCTCATCAAAGTGAGTCCTGTGTGGCCTCTTCTTTATAAGGGTCATCTTGGGTTGACCTATCAGGAAATCACTTGTTTTATTTTTTTTTATTAAAAAAAAAAAACATTTGTTTATATGAAAGTCAGAGTTACAGAGAGAGAGAGGTATCTTCCATCTGCTGGTTCATTCACCAGATGGCCGCAATGGCCAGGGCTCAGCCAGGCAAAAGCCAGGAGCCAGCTCCTTCTGGGTCTCCCAGGTAGATGCAGGGGCCCAAGGATTTAAGCCATCTTCCACTGCTTTCCCAGGCCACAGCAGAGAGCTGGATCAGAAGTAGAGCAGCCAGGACTGGAAACTGGCAGCTATATGGGATGCTGGCATCAGGTGGCAGCTTTACCCGCTAAGCCATAATGCTGGCCACCAAGAAATCACTTTTGAGTGTTTCATTTGGGTCAAGCTTAAACCATTCTCCTTTCAGATGTGAAAACCTATTTTCCCTGAAATTCTTGAAATTGCCTTCCAAAATTTAACACAGAGGGTCTGATTTACTCCAAAGCAAACTCTTGCTGTACCTGGAATCTGTATAATACAGGTTGTGGGAATTCGATATAGTCTCCTATATTTTCACTGTTTCAGATACTGTGTTGTCTCTCTAGTCGTAAGCGATTCAAGGACATGGACCACATTTTATACATTTGTAGACCCACTGCATCATAGGTCTGTTGCTTTGTTTTAGACATACAATGCACATACAGTAAATGACAAGCTGGTAAAATTTCATCTCAACCCCTTCAGACTTTAATGACATCACGAAAGCTCAAGATTTGGGAAGAATCCAGTAGTCCTGACTCCCTCACCTGGGCCAGAATTCCACAGGACAGCCTGCAGCCTCCGCCGGCACCTTCCCTGGCAGGCTCACAGGTCTGCAGGCAGTCAGCACTCCTGCAGGAGGCTCCCTCTTCCCACTGCCCCTTTTACCAAAAAGACAGAGTCAAAAGATAGATCACTGGGGCCAGTGCTGTGGCGCAGCAGGTAAAGCCGGCATATGGACGCTGGTTCGAGTCTTGGCTGCTCCACTGCCAATCCAGCTCTCTGCTGTGGCCTAGAAAGCAGCGAAGATGGCCCAAGTCCTTGGGCCCTTGCACCCGCATGTGAGACCCGGAAGAAGCTCCTGGCTCCTGGCTTCAGGTCAGCCCAGCTCCGGCCATTGCAACCATTTGGGGAGTGAACCAGCAGATGGAAGACCTCTCTTTGTCTTTCTCTCTCTCTCTGCCTCTCAAATAAATAAATAAATCTTAAAAACATGAAACAGAATTATAAAAAAAAAAGATACATCATCAAATTCCATGGCACAGATAGAGCGTGAATTCTCTATCCAACCTTTGTCCTGTGCCAATTTTGCACCCAGCCCACTGCACACTGAAATTCCGAGACAACTCTCCAAACCCTACACAATCACTTAGCGCCACTTACTTGTTTTGTAATCCTAGGCAAATTGTGACACCTCACTAAATCTGATTCCTCCTTTGTAAATAGGATAACAATCCCAACCTCACAGGTTGCTGTGGAGATTAACCAAGGAAACGTGTGTCCACATCTGGCCTGCAGCAGGTACTCTGTAAATACTGCTGGAGAGTAGCCTGACTGGAATAAGATGGGCCAGCAAATATGGCATCATGGGTGACATCAACCTGAGGCACTGCATTTAAAAGGGAAAACCAGAGTTCACAGACGCCTAAGAGAGCATTTGGGAAGGATCTTTGGGTAGGAAAAGTCGGAGGCTGAACTGGAAAGGATAAATTCAAATGTGAGCAAGCCCATGGGGACAGTGATCATAAGAACCACCTAGCCATAGGCACGATCTGACCTGTAATGTAAGCGCAGTCTAGAAACAGAGTCTGTCGCATGTGAAGGTCAGACTGGAAGCCGAAGAGGCAGAGGCCGGGTCAGTGAGGAAGGGCTGATCTGTGTTGAGTTCTACTCTCTGTTTTTTATAGACTTTTGTTTTGTTCTGCGTCCTTCTGGACTACCAACTGACTGTCCAGCTGCCGTCAGAACCCGTGTGCCCTCTGTTCTAACAGAAACCTACGACTGGCCAAAACCAAATAATCAATGCTTGTTCATTACTCACTCACTTATTCATCCATTCGATGAATACATGTAGCCATCAAATAGTAATAACCACCACCAACTTGACCAAGCTCTGGAATAATCCGGAAATAAATAAAATATAGCCATTGCTTTTTAAAGAGTTTCTAGACTTCTGGATTAAGCAGATTAAAAATTGGCCTTTATTCTGGATAGACTCTAAGTACCACAAGAGAGAAATGAACAAAATTCTGTGCCAGGGGTTGAGAACACAGCAAATCAGGCTGCACTGGGCCAGCAAATGTTTTGTCTGGCCCACATGGTGTTTTCTTTTGTTTTTCCAGATTAGATGCCAACATGTAAAAATTAGGACATTTCAGAGAGAAGCCCAGATTTGCAGCTTCTGGTAAAAACAGGAAGATCTGAGCACACAAGGCCAGTTGCTACATGGTGGCAACGGGCAGAGCACAGCAGGCGCTCTCCAGTTTCCCACCGTCCTTGTCACTCTTACTCGGTGGCATCCAAGCCACACGTGCAGGTGCCAGGTGTCACCAGTTTGCACTGGGGGCACTTTCACAACAGAGGTATGTTTTTTTTTTTTAAACTCAAGTCTATTAAAAGTAGAAATAAGCGACACACTGAGCGCGCCACGTGTTTCAAGCGATGTAGGGTGCAAGATAGAATATTCCTAAGGAACACGGACCATTCCTTGCGTTTACCAACACTCATCTCTCATTTATGTCCCTGCCTGACCCCTGCACGCTCTTGAGTTTGTCACGCAAACTCTTGAGTTTGTAGCCGCAAAGCCATCACTCACTACGGAGATGGCTGCGGCACTGCTCGAAGGGGCCCGTAGTGGACGCCCAGGATCTCACCGTGAGATGAGCAAAGACAGGGAACACATGTCTGACCCCCGTGGCCCGCCACTGGGCCAGGGGGCTGAAAAGACCATCCAGGAAGATTCTTGAAAGTCAGGCTGAGAATCACCCACGCAGTCCGTGTTGCCCGAAATGTACCGTGGTGTGATGGGCGGTGCAGGTGACTTTTAAAGGGCACGAAACACGCCAGCAGGCGAGCACGGCGTTCGCTGCTGTTCACCTTAGCACCTTTCGAGGGCAGCGGCCACCCTCCGGGCCCAGAGGCCCGCCCCGCTCCCCGGCAGCGGCGTCCGGGCGCCTCCCACCTGTACTTGGACACTCCCCTGACACTTAAAAGCAAGCGACACTCGTTTCTCATACACGTTGTACCTAAGTTTCCGTGGGAAACCTAAAAACCGCACTTCAGAGAAAGTTCAGTGCGGCGGTGCGGAGAAATCCAGCCACCGAGGGCACGGGCAACGCGCGGGCGCGGCGACCCTGACGGAGTTCAGCCGAGGGACCGCTCCCTGAGGATGCCCAAAACGCCTCGAAGGGCCGCCGCCCCCGGGAGGGTGACCCCGCGGGCTCCCAGACCCCGGTCCGCGGCCCTCCGCCCAGGCCGCAGGCCCGTTGCCCCTGGCAACCGCGCTGGTTCCCGCCGCGGCTGCCGCCATCCCCGAAGGCGCTCCGCCCTCCCCGCTCCTCCAGACTGCCCCGCGCCTCACCACTGCTCGACTTTATCTCTCCACGTCAGCACGGCCCTCATCGCGGTTTCCCTCACGACTCGGGCCCCTCCTCCCCGCCTCAGCAACCTGCTCCGCTCGACGAGCCAATTTGGCTACCCGCGCTACCCCTGGCAACGCACATGCGCAGAGAGCGGCGCGCGAGCGACCCCCGTAGCTCTGAGTGCGCATGCCTAAAAGGGAGGGCGAGAAAAGCAGTAAAAGCGACGAAGGGAGCCCAGAAGTCGTTAAGCGCCACCAAGGCGTGCGCCATTGGTCGAGACGGGTAGAGGGGGCGGGACGTTTTCCCCGATAAAGGATATGATTGGCGGAGCCGTGGAAGTGGTAGTTATGGAGGCGGGGGCGGCCGGAAAGCAACTGTGCAGTCTTTCCCGCGTTCATTCACTACCTTCAGACTGGTTTTACCTCAGCGGCCTGAGGGGCAGAGGTTTTTACCTCTTGCTTCTCTTTCGCTCCAGGGCCTCGTAGCTCTCGGCCGTGGGTCGCAGCTGGAGCCCGCTTTGAGGGTGGCACGGCTGAGATGGAGAGCCCGAGCCTGGGGGATGGCGGAGCTGCCCCTGCGGTCTCCTGTAGCGAGCGCCCAGCCCCAGCCCAGCCCTGCGACCTCGGGCAAGTGACTGTCCCCTTTCGGGCCGCCCCTTCACCCTTGTAAAATGGGAGCTGGCGAGTAGGCTGGGTGGACCTTTCTGGGCTTGAGGTACTGAGAGCTGGGTCGGCCCAGGGTGCGCCCCGCTTCCGGCCCCGAAGCGACTGGGGGAGCTGAGGGAAGCGAAGAGGCGCCGGGAGAGGTCTCCCGTTCGACCCGGGCCGCGGGAGCAGCAACGGGAGGCGTCCGGGCGTGCGTGTGCTGTGAGGCGAGGGTGGCCTGCCTTGTTAGGAAACGCATCCTCAGAACCGCGTCGGGGGAGGTCTTCCCGCCAGCATCGAATGCTGAAGTGGCTTGCTTTTGGGCACACGGCTAGGAAATGGCAGAGCCGTCGGTGTGGCGCGGACTGCGCAAGGTTTCTGTCCCCTCTCCTGGGAAATGCAAACTGTGGCTTCCATTAGAACAACCCAGTCCCCAAACTATTTAACCGTGGTTCTCACTCTGGTTAGTCACTGGTTGCTGCTTAGTTTCCCTGTTTGTAGAAAAGAAGTTGGGTTAGTTGAGCAGTGGAGACGGATCCAGCGTTTAAAATGTGTGAGTCAGTGAGTAGGATGCACTTGACCGAAGCTTTTCGGGAACGGCACAGGGGAGAAGTGTTAGGCTAAGGTGTAGTGGACCTGGGTTCTGGTATCAGTTGTGCAAGTCACTTAACTTGCCTCTCACCCACTTTCATCGGTGAAATGAGAGTAAACGTTACCAATCTCACAAAGTTAGCATCATGAGGATCAAGAGTTAAAGAGATTGCGAATTCAAAATCAGAAATTATTTACTTTAGGAGGCTTGCAACATCTGGTCAAAATGAAAGACACTTTGGCCCAGAAAAACACACATATTATAGGTAAAATGTGTACCTCGTTTATTTGCAGAGGGGAGCTGGTGAATGGAGGTGATCACTCACTGAGTGCTTCAAGGGTTTCTGTTAATCCTGGACTCAGCTGTTGGTTCATATTCTCAGACTTAGACCAAGTGCCACCAGAAATCTCTATAACAGCCTTATTGGATGATTAGCATTTTTAATAGGGGTTTCCCATACTTTAAAACTCATGTTGGAGGAGAAGAAACTTCTGTGGTGGACAAGAAGATAACCTGTTGAACAAGACTGGTTCATGCTAACTTTAATCTCTCCGATTTTAACCTGAATAATCCATATGGATTCCAGACTGTCATGGGTTGATATGGAATAAGAAAAAAGGGAATCAGTTTTAAATGAGTTAATCACTTGTGTGTTGTTTTTCCAGGGATGATGCTGTGAGATTGGAAAGAGCGGGAGAAGATGAGAAACAAATGGTGGTAAATGGAAGCAGTGCGTGTAACCCTCTGCTGCCAGAACCCATTGCTTCTGCTGGGTGTGGTGGCACTGCAGTGACAGAAAGCCCCAAGTCGGTTCCATGTGGATGGGAAAGAGTTGTGAAGCAAAGGTTGTCTGGGAAGACAGCGGGGAAATTTGATGTGTATTTTATCAGGTAAGCTCACGAGGCCGTAAAGACACTACAGCACAATAATTTTGTCTTGAGAGGTCATGAGAATATACAACAAACATCTTGGCTTATATCTTTTTTTACCAAAAACCATTGGGTATTCTGTTCTTTCAGTGTCATTGGTTCATTGTATCAGGTGATTCAGGGACATTTACACATTTCATCTCTCCTACTATCTGAATAGTTATTGAGGAGGTTACATTTACGTGATATTTATAAATTTACTTTATGCTGTTATAGAAGATACCATTTTAAAGTGCTCGTTAGCACTTTTTTATTTTTCTTTTTAAATGAGGAATGCTCATTACAACATTTGGAAATGATGAATTAGAAATCTGAAGCGTAGTCCAGTTCTTTTGAACGTCGCTATTTTTACTAGCATTGAGTTTCATTCAGTGTCATCTTCTAGCCCCCAGGGACTGAAGTTCAGATCCAGAAGGTCGCTTACTAATTATCTGCACAAAAATGGGGAGACGTCTCTTCACCCAGAAGATTTTGATTTTACTCTGGTTCCTAAAAGGGGCACCAAGTCAAGAAAAAAAGATTGCAGCGTGGCAGATCTCACGTCTCAACTGCAGAACAGCAGGAACGTTTCAAACTGGAACCTCAGGACACGAAGCAGGCAGGAGAAGGATGAGTGTCCTCTGCCAAGTGCTTGTTCCGAGTTGCAGGGTAACAGAGGACTCTCTAACCCTGCTTCCATTCATCTGCCTTCGAAAGAAGATGAGGGTGTTCACGATGTTGCCTCTGGAAAAGGCAGAAAGTCCAAAGGAAAGGAGACTGTGTTAAAAGGAATTCACATTAAGAAAACTAAAAAAGGGTTCGGGAAGAATCGTTCAGGTTCTGTTCAAAGTAGTAGGAAAAGAAACGCCGTGTGTAATAAAGCAGGCGCTGAGAGAGAGCCTGTTCCGCAGGAGGGTGAGCTTGAGAGAGCGCTCTGCGTTTCCGATGCCAGGGCAGGCAGCCAGCCCCTCGGTGTGACCAGTGCTGAAAAGAGCCTTGTGAAAGAAAGATCAAGTTCAGAATCAAGTTTTCATCTTGAACAGTTAACTTCTGGAGTCACAAATGAATTAGGTTCGACCAAAGAAGCAGAACACAGTCAGAAGCATGAGGATACCTCTTCAGAATCAGAGGGAATCAGAACAAAAGGAGACACTGGGGGGAGGAAGGAGCATTTGCATGCTGACATTTTAAGATGTGGCGCTGAAATGGACAGCAGCTGCTCACAAACCGAGACAGACTTGACTTCTGAGAAAATACTTCAAGGTATTCAGTGCTTTAAAGTGCTATTAGACGTTACGTGATGAGGAGTGTAGACTCCCAGGTCTTGTATTTCCGGCCTATGCACAGTTAAGATATGGGAAGAGAGCCGAGAAATAAGGCCACATGGCAGATATAGTCTACTCGCTCCTAAGGCCTTGTCTAACTGATTTTCAAGTCCTTCCCTGTGGCAGAGAGAGGATCAGCTGGTTACTGCCATGGTGCCTGGGCAAAGGAGAGTTTTCCCTTTAACAGCTGCCATGTCCTCTCCCCAACGTAGCAGGTGGGGCTGGGCTCCCTTCTCAATGGCTGTTTCCTTTCTTCCCATTCTTTTTTTTTTTTTTTTTTTTTTTTTTAAGATTTATTTGAAAGTCACAGTTACACAGAGAGAGAAGGGGGGTTGTCTTCCATCATCCACTAGTTCATTCCCCAATTGGCCACAATAGCCGGAGCTGCACCAATCTGAAGCCAAGAACCAGGAGCTTCTTCTGGGTCTCCCATACGGGTGCAGGGGCCCAAGGACTTGTGCCATCTTCTACTGCTTTCCCAGGCCACAGCAGAGAGCTGGATCAGAAGTGGAGCAGCTGGGACTCGAACCGGTGCCCATATGGGATGGCAGCACTGCAGGTGGCGGCTTCACCCGCTGTGCCACAGCGCTGGCCCCTCTTTTTTTTTTTTTTTAAAGATTTATTTATTTGAAAGGCAGAGTTACAGAGAAAGAGAGAGAGGTCTTCTATCTTCTGGTTCACTCCCCACACACACAACGGTTGGAGCCAGGCCAATTCGAAGCCAGGAGCCAGCAGTTTCTTCCGAGTCTCCCACACGAGTGCAGGGCTCCAAGCAGTTGGGCTATCTTCTTTCCTAGGCCATAGCAGAGAACTGGATTGGAAGTGGAGCAGCTGGGTATCGAACTAGGTGGCAGCTTTACCCGCTACACCAAAGTGCCAGCACCCCCATTCTCTTTCCAGCTGGTAATCTTAAGACTTGAAGATTAAAAAGGCTTTACATGTGGAAAACTTGGAGCATGCACTTTGGTTCCTGAACTGCTCAAGACTAGTCAGTGTCCTTTCCTCACACCCCTCTTCTTACTTACTACTTATGAGTGACTACCAATTTAATTTTGTGCATATCATAGTCATTTTTAGCTTCTATTATAATGTAATGCTTCCCTAAAATGCTTTGGCACTCTAAATAATTCAGAAGTATAATCACATAGTTCATCTATTATTTGTAGTGTGCTCTTAATACAGAATTGAGAGCTTAGCAGTTCTGCTTTTATAATACCTTAGTGAATAAGAGATAAAAAAAGAGCCCATTTGAGCAGCCCTGTATTAGTAATTTATTATGCCATTATGGTATAATGAATAACTCTTTAAAGAAGAATAGTAATTTTACTTAAAACCCTATGGGAAAACAACCTGAACAAATTGGTGGAACAGGGGTGACACTTGATTCTCGCTGTGTCCCACCCGTGGCTTTGTGTCTCCTCAGAGACTGGAATTTTTCTGCCTTTAACAGAAAATGGCCATGTCTGCCTAGGGACTGTGTAAAAACTGAGCTGCTTAAAGAAAACTTTGGAGTTTGTGTAGACTGATTACTATTATAATGGGAAAATGTAAATATTAAAAACATACTTTTATGACTAAGTTGGAAAGAATCCTATTCATCCTAAATTTAACCAAGTCTAGCTCTCAACATACAGTGAAGTACTCCTGGGTTACTTGATGTCCGCTGGAGTAGTAGACTTCCCATTGGCCTAGGTAGAAATTGCCAAGTAAACTAGCAATAAAGAAGGCTAATTGGTGATTATTTATAGGAACCTGCAGAAAAAGTTAACAAGTAGCTAGTAAAAGCAGTCTGCTTAGTTCTCTTTTTTTACTTCCTGCTGGGCTTCCTATTCAAACTAGAGAAGCAGGAGCTAGCATTGTGGTGCAGCGGTTAAGTTGCCACTGTGACAGCTAGCATCCCATATCAGAGCTTTGGTTCCAGTCCTGGCTGCAGCACTTCCAATCCAACTCCCTGCTAATGGGCCCAGGAAAGCAACAGAGGATGGCCCAAGTACATCCCTGGGCATTGTGGCCATCTGGGGAGTGACCTGTAGATAGAAGATCCCTCTCTCCCTTGCGCTCGCTCTCTCTCTGCCACCCCCTACTATCTCCCACTTTCTTTGCCTGTCACTCTGCCTGTTGTATAAATAAATCTTGGCTGGCGCCACGGCTTACTAGGCTAATCCTCCACCTTGCGGCGCCGGCACACCGGGTTCTAGTCCCGGTCGGGGCACCGGATTCTGTCCCGGTTGCCCCTCTTCCAGGCCAGCTCTCTGCTATGGCCCGGGAGTGCAGTGGAGGATGGCCCAAGTGCTTGGGCCCTGCACCCCATGGGAGACCAGGAGAAGTACCTGGCTCCTGGCTTCGGATCAGTGCAATGCGCTGGCTGCGGCGGCCATTGGAGGGTGAACCAACGGCAAAAGGAAGACCTTTCTCTCTCTCTCTCTCACTGTCCACTCTGCCTGTCAAAAAAAAAAAAAAAAAAAAATCTTTAAGGGGCTGGCACTATAGCTCAGTTGGTTAATCCTCCGCCTGCTTCCCAAGCATCCCGTATGGGCACCAGTTCCAGTCCTAGCTGCTCCTCTTCCAATCCAGCTCTCTGCTGTGGCCTGGGAAAGCAGTGGAAGATGGCCCAAGTGCCTGGGCCCCTGCACTCACATGGGAGAACGAGAGGAAACTCTGGCTTCGGATCGGTGCAGCTCCAGCTATTGCAGCTATTTGGGGAGTGAACCAATGGAAGGAAGACCTTTCTCTCTGTCTCTCCTTCTCACTGTCTGTGACTCTACCTCTCAAATAAATAAATAAAAAAATCTTAAAAAATAATAATAAATAAAAAATCTTAAAAAAGCTAAAAGCAGCAGCAACATCAGCAAACTAGAAGAGCAGATAACACTAGACATTATTTGGAAACCTAGATGTTTGTCCCAGCCTCCAATCAATCCCATTAACATTTGGGGAGAGTTGTTTAATTTGTAAGCTTCAATTTCTTCAAAAAGAAACTGTTTCTTAAAAGTAACAACCCTGCCAGCACCATGGCTCTCTTGGCTAATCCTCCGCCTGCAGCGCCGGCACCCTGGGTTCTAGTCCTGGTTGCTCCTCTTCCAGTCCAGCTCTCTGCTGTGGCCCGGGAAGGCAGTGGAGGATGGCCCAAGTATCTGGGCCCTGCACCCGCATGGGAGACCAGGAGGAAGCACCTGGCTCCTGGCTTCGGATCGGCAAAGCGCGCCGGCCGTAGTGGCCATTTGGAGAATGAATCAATGGCAAAGGAAGACATTTCTCTCTGTCTCTCTCTGTCTAACTCTGCCTGTCAAAAAAAAAAAAAAATTTTTTTTTAAAAAGTAGCAACCCTCACTAATCCTGTTTTTCACATCTTTAATATTATCAAGTAAAATGAGAAGTGAAAACAATGGCTTCATGCTATACAAATGTCAGATATTCAGATTTTCAGGGTATAGCTAAAGGAAGTATTTAAATGTGATGATTTTAGAAATTTGAGAAGTCTGATAACACCAGTTCCTGGTAGGTAGAATCTCCCAGTAGATAGTGGTCTCAGGTGTTCCAGGGTCCAAATCTTAGGTTTTTCTTGGAACTTATATTTTATCTGTATCCCGTTTTTGGTTAATATAAGTGTTCACAGAAGAAATTTTGAGGAATAGGGAAAATTAAGAAAAATTATCACTGAGCAATAATGATTATAACATTTTTTTTTTAAGATTTATTTATTTTGGCCGGCGCCGCGGCTCACTAGGCTAAATCCTCCACCTTGCGGCGCCGGCACACCGGGTTCTAGTCCCGGTCGGGGTGCCGGATTCTGTCCCGGTTGCCCCTCTTCCAGGCCAGCTCTCTGCTGTGGCCAGGGAGTGCAGTGGAGGATGGCCCAAGTGCTTGGGCCCTGCACCCCATGGGAGACCAGAAGTACCTGGCTCCTGCCATTGGATCAGCGCGGTGCGCCGGCCGCGGCAGCCATTGGAGGGTGAACCAATGGCAAAGGAAGACCTTTCTCTCTGTCTCTCTCTCTCACTGTCCACTCTGCCTGTCAAAAAAAAAAAAGAAAAAAAAGAAATAAATCTTAAAAAAAAAAAAATGAAGATTTATTTATTTTGAAAGAGTTGGGGGGTGGGGAGTAAGAAAGGATCTTCGATCTACTGGTTTATTCCCCATATGGCCACAACAGCTAGGGCTGGGCCAGGCGGAAGCCAGGAGCCAGGAACTCTGTCCGGGTCTCCCACATGGGTGGCAACAACTTGGGCCATTTTCCATTGCTTTTCCCAGGCCAATAGCAGGGAGCTGGACTGGAAGTGGAGCAGCCCATGAACCAGTGCCCTTATGGGATGCTAGTTTCACAGGCAGAGGCTTTACTTGTTATGTCACATTGCTGTGCGCCCCCCAATTTATTTATTTATTTATTTTTCATTTTATTTGAAAGGCACAGACACAGAGATTTTCCATCTCCTGATTCACTCCTTAAATGCCCACAACAGCCAGAGCTGGACCAGGTTGAAGGGAGGAGCCCAGAGCTCCACCCAGGTCTCCCACGTGGGCAGCAAGAACCCAAGTACTTGAGCCATCCTCCTGCCACTTCCTAGGGTGTGCATCAGCAGGAAGCAGGATTGGAAATGGAGTAGCTGGGACTAAATCCAGGCATTCTATTGTGGAAAGTGAACATCTCCAGTAGTAACTTAACTACTGTGCCAGTTTTCCATCCTTAAAAAATATTTTAACAAACACTTGTAGAAATGTGTCACAGTTTAACATATTCTAAACTGTACCTAATTTTCAGTGCCATGAGCTCCAAACATAAATCATAGAGAACAGAGTGGTTAAAGGCATAGACTCAGGGCTGGCGCTGTGGGGTAGGGGGTAAAGCGGCCACCTTCGGTGCTTGCATCCCATATGGACCCTGGTTTGAGTCCCAGCTGCTCCACTTCCAGTCCAGCTCTCTGCTGTGGCCTGGGAAAGCAGTGGAAGATGGCCCAAATCTTTGGGCTCCTGCACCTGCATGGGAAATCCAGAAGAAACTCCTGGCTCCTGGCTTTGAATCAGCACAGCTCCCTCCGGCCATTGTGGCCATCTGGGGAGTGAACCAGAGGAGGGAAGACCTCTCTCTCACTCTCTCTGCCTTTGCCTCTCTGCAACTCTACCTTTCAAATAAGTAAATAAATAAATAAATCTTAATCAGAAAAAAAAAGCCTTGGGACCTTTCCCAAGGTGGTCAAAGTTTATATATAGGGCTGGCGCTGTGGCACAGCGGGTTATTGCCCTGGCCTGAAGCACTGGCATCCTATATGGGCGCCGGTTCTAGTTCCGGCTGCTCCTCTTCTGATCCAGCTTTCTGCTATGGCCTGGGAAAGCAGTAGAAGATAGCCCAAGTCCTTGGGCCCCTGCACCCACATGGGAGACCTGGAAGAATCTCCTGGCTCCTAGCTTAGGATCGGCGCAGCTCCGGCCATCGCAGCCATCTGGGAAGTGAACCATCGGATGGAAGACCTCTCTCTCTCTGTCTCTGCCTCTCCTCTCTCTGTATAACTCTGACTTTCAAATAAATAAATAAATCTTAAAAAAAAAGGGGGGGGGGCATGGACTTTGGCCAGACTGCTTGGGTTCGGATTTTAGCTCCGACTGTTAACAGCTATGTGACTTTGGGCATGTTACTTAATTTCTCTGTGCCCCAGTTTTCCTTGTCTGTAAAGTAGAAATAAGAAATAATCTTGTAACTTGCTCACAGATCATGAGGATTCAGTTGGTTAATTTATGCCAGTGATTACAGTAGTGCTTGGGAGGCATTTTAGTAGCTGTGGTATTGTTATCATTTGCATCCCTGCATCTTTCTTTAGGCTGAACCATAGATTGTGTGAACATTGTTCATTCTTCCTTTTCAGAAGACACCATCCCACGAACACAAATAGAGAGAAGAAAAACAAGCCTGTATTTTTCCAGCAAGTATAACAAAGCAGGTATCCCTTTCACAGAAAGAACATCAGATTTTTTTTTTTTACTTTTATTTAATGAATATAGATTTCCAAAGTACAGCTTATGGACTACATTGGCGTCCCCGCCCCCATGACTTCCCTCCCACACGCAACCCTCCCCTATTCCCGCTCTCTCTCCCCTTCCATTCATATCAAGATTCATTTTCAATTTTCTATATATACAGAAGATCAGTTTAGTATACATTAAGTAAAGATTTCAACAGTTTGCACCCACATAGAAACACAAAGTGAAAAATACTGTTTGAGTACTTGTTATAGCATTAAATCTCAATGTACAGCACATTAAGGACAGAGATCCTACATGAGGAGTAAGTGCACAGTGACTCCTGTTGTTGACTTTACAAATTGACACTCCTGTTTATGGCATCAGTAATCTCCCTATGCACCAGTCATGAGTTTCCAAGGCTATGGAAGCCTTTTGAGTTCTCCGACTCTTGTCTTATTTAGACAAGGTGATAGTCAAAGTGGAAGTTCTCTCCTCCCTTCAGAGAAAGGTACCTCCTTCTTTGAAGACCTAAGAACATCAGATTTTAAATATATTTCCAGTGTTCAGTCTTGATGCTGTGTGTTTGTTCAGCTCTTAGCCCCCCACGACGCAAAGCCTTTAAGAAGTGGACACCTCCTCGGTCACCTTTTAATCTCGTCCAAGAAACGCTTTTTCATGACCCATGGAAGCTGCTCATTGCGACCATATTTCTCAATCGGACCTCAGGTTTGTGAATTATTTTCACCTTTGTGGGAAGCAACTGGGAGCAACTCGGACTAGACTAAGTTACTGGAATTAAGACTTATTCTATGCATCTGCTTTCCCACGATATGGCGCTGGGAGAGGAGGAAACAGCTTCTACACAGCTGCCTCCAGTTCAACCAATAAACAGCAGGACCTGCTCCTGATTGCAGGAGAGCAGCGTACTCAGCGTGTGGGTAGCAGAGTTGGGATTGGCGGAAGAGGACTATAAAGGAGGAGAGAGACAACATGCACCAGGAACATCTAAAGGGAACACCTGAGCAGCCCCCCGGCCGGCGGTGTGCCGCTCCCCCGCGGAAGTGGGGAAAGTGGCAGGGGGAACCGCCCTTCCACGGAGGTGGAAGGGATGGTAGCCAACCCGGGAAGAACCAGCAGCAAACCCGGGGAGGGCCGAGCAGACGAAAGAACAGCGCAGGGTCCTGTGTCGTTCCTCCACGAAGACGGGGAGCGACATAATGGTGCTGTGACTCGGATATGAAGCCTAGGCAGGGTTCAGTGTCGTTCCTCCACGAAGAGGGGGAGTGACACACCTTGTCCTCATAGAGAGTGTAATGAGGAGGAAGAGTGCTGAATAGATTAGGTGGCCTGGGTACAAGGTCCATTCCAAGTCTGTGTGACCATAGGTAGGCCTTAGTCTTTCAGCCTTCACAGTCCTCACCTGTGAGAGGTTAGATTGGATACTGCCCACAGCTTTTCCAGCATTAAGGGGCAAATGTTCTTTGAAATCAATTTTGGCCATCAGTAAAACTCTTACCATTTTTCTGTCCTTGAACATATATAAAGGCCTGTGTTTCATTGGCTGCACCTTGTATTCTGTATGGTTCTGCACTGGTTATCTATCAAAATGATTATCTAAAAGTAATCTCACACAAGACCAGGTTTCAGAACTGTTAGCTCAGTAGATGACTAGTATTAGTATTGTACTCTTTTTTTTTTTTTTTTTTTTTTTTTTTTTTTTTTTTACAGGCAGAGTGGACAGTGAAAGAGAGAGACAGAGAGAAAGGTCTTCCTTTGCCGTTGGTTCACCCTTCAATGGCCGCTGCGGCCGGCACGCTGATCCGATGGCAGGAGCCAGGTACTTATCCTGGTCTCCCGTGGGGTGCAGGGCCCAAGTACTTGGGCCATCCTCCACTGCACTCCCTGGCCACAGCAGAGAGCTGGCCTGGAAGAGGGGCAACCGGGACAGAATCCGGCGCCCTGACCGGGACTAGAACCCGGTGTGCCGGCGCCACAAGGCAGAGGATTAGCCTAGTGAGCCACGGCGCCGGCGGTATTGTACTCTGAAAGTAGTTGTCTGTTCAGGTAGTGGCTTCTTGTCAGTGGTTAGAAAACAAAAACCTCTGGATGAGATTTCTAGATGAAGATGTACCTGAACTTAAAGACAGCCTATGGGACCTCTTGTACTCATTTGGTTATTTTTACTACTCAGGCAAAATGGCAATACCTGTGCTTTGGGAGTTTCTGGAGAAGTACCCTTCAGCCGAGGTAGCGAGAGCCGCGGACTGGAGAGATGTATCAGAACTCCTCAAGCCTCTTGGTCTGTATGATCTTCGAGCAAAAACCATCATCAAGTTCTCAGGTGCTTTCCTATAAACCCAAAGGAAAAAAACATAGATTTCTACCTATCTAAAAAAGCCATGCCTTAAACTTTAATGTCCTTGGAGGCTCCACTAATAGAGGTTATTCTGCTCAGGCACAGAAGGCTTAAAAACAGGGTCCTTGCCCCCAAACCACAGTCTCCCACTGACCTAACCAATACATATCTCCCTGGCATTGGCTCAGAACACGTGGACAGAATTAGGGAAAGAAGTCAGTGAAGCAGAAAGGCCAGTCCTGGCCTCCAGGGTGTTACCACTGTCTAGTTAGCACAGCACAAGACAGTGGTCAGGAAGAGGCAAATCGAGGTAAGGAACCGCGAGAATTCAGAGGGAAGAACTGAGGGTGTGGAGAGAGAATCCTCCCGTCCCTTTCTGCTGTCCTGTGTGCCTGCCCCACCACCACACATTAGGGAAGGTGTCTTTCTGGAGGCTGACCTGACATGCAGGATGTTGTATTCCTCAGATGAGTATCTGACAAAGCAGTGGAAGTATCCAATTGAGCTTCATGGTATTGGAAAATACGGCAATGACTCTTACCGAATTTTTTGCGTCAATGAGTGGAAGCAGGTAAGGCCCACTGCTAGCCATAATGTCCAGCATGTTTTGTGTCTGCATCCAATTAGATGTCCTGACCTCTTAGGTAAGAAATAAATCCAGCATTGTAGCTAAAACTCTTCGTAGGACACAAGAGCTATTATAGTCAGAGGCACTTTTGTTCCCAGCTTAGAGACCAGCAATGGGGTTTTTGGCGGCAGAGAAAGGAGTCACAGGCTCTCCTGGGTCCGTAAAGACTCATTGGTATGGCCTCTGACTGACCTCACTTTTTTTTAGATTAGACCTTCACTTTTTTTTTAGATTATTTAATTTATTTATTTGAAAGACACAGTTACAGAGAGGCAGAGGGAGTGAGAGAGCTCTTCCATCTACTGGTACATATCTCAAATGACTGCAATGGCTAGAGCTGCACTGGTCCAAAGCCAGGAGCTTCTCCCAGGTCTCCCACACAGGTGCAGGGGCCCAAGCACTTGGGTCATCTTCTACTGCTTTCCCAGGCCATCATAGCAAAGAGCTGGATCAGAAGTGGAGTAACTAGGACTTGAACCAGCACCCATATGGGTTGTTGATGCCACAGGTGGAGGCTTAGCCCACTATGCCACAGCGCTGGTCCCTGTTTTTCACGTCTGGCCCTATTTCTGTCTCAGCCTGATGTTTTCCTCCTGTCAGAAGTATACCACTCGAGGGAGGTGGGCAAGTTTGTGCTCAGATTGTGTATGTTGTGGGGGTCTCTCCTGGTGATCTCAGGCTGTTTTGGGGGTAGCTGATTCCTACTTCAGCTACCATTTTACAGACTATGCCCACCCAGAGGCATCCTGATGGCATCCTAGCAGATGGTGTGTGGGCTTTTCACTGCCCTGTTGGCCTGTGACTCACAGGTAATGCTGGAGCCAACAGTCTGGTCAGGGCTGAACTGAGGACAGTGGCCCTGTCCCTGCTGCACCAGAACTATCCACTGTGACCCACCTAATCCATTTAATCTCAGGGTCAGTGACCTCTTAGAAGATAAGCCATGGGGCTGGGGCTGTGGCATAGCAGGTAAAGCTGCCACCTGCAGTGCCAGCATCCCATATGGGCGCCGATTCGAGTCCTGGCTGCTCCTCTTCCAATCCAGCTCTCTGCTGTGCCCTCGGAAAGCAGTAGAAGATGGCCTAATTCCTTGGGGCCCTGCACCCGTGTGGGAGACTCAGAAGAAGACCTTGGCTCCTGGCTTTGGATCGGCACAGCTCTGGCCATTGCGGCCAACTGGGCAGTGAACCAGCGGATGGAAGACCTCTCTCTCTCTCTCGCTCTCTGCCTTTCTCTCTCTCTTTGTAACTCTGACTTCGAAGTAAATAAATAAGTAAATTTTCAAAAAGAAAAGAAAATGAGCCATTAATACTTGATTAGTGTCATCGCTATCCCACACTCCACGACATGCTGAGGATCAGTGCTAAATTGAAAAGTACTCATAAACTGTACAGAACTACCTTAATGTAAGACAAAATTTTTTTTTTATTTATTATTTTTGACAGGCAGAGTGGACAGTGAGAGAGACAGAGAGAAAGGTTTTCCTTTTGCCGTTGGTTGACCCTTTAATGGCCGCTGCGGCCAGTGCACTGTGGCCGGCGCATCGCGCTGATCCGAAGCCAGGAGCCAGGTGCTTTTCCTGGTCTCCCATGCGCGTGCAGGGCCCAAGGACTTGGGCCATCCTCCACTGCACTCCCAGGCCATAGCAGAGAGCTGGCCTGGAAGAGGGGCAACCAGGACAGAATCCGGCGCCCCGACTGGGACTAGAACCCGGTGTGCTGGCACCACAAGGCGGAGGATTAGCCTAGTGAGCCACGGTGCCAGCCCAAAATTTTATTTTTAAGTGTCGCTCCCCCTCTTCGCGGAGGAACGACACAGGACCCTGCACTGTTCTTTCGTCTGCTCGGCCCTCCCCGGGTTTGCTGCTGGTTCTTCCCGGGTTGGCTGCCGTCCCTCCACCTCCGTGGAGGGGCGGGCCCCCCTGCCACTTTCCCCACTTCCACGGGGGAGCAGCACACCACCGGCCGGCTCTCTCGGGGGCTGCTCAGGTGTTCCTTCAGATAGATGTTCCTGGTGCATGTTGTCTCTCTCCTCCTTTATAGTCCTCTTCCACCAATCCCAACTCTGCTACCCACACGCTGAGTACGCTGCTCTCCTCCAATCAGGAGCAGGATCAGCTCCTGCTGTTTATTGGTTGAACTGGAGGCAGCTGTGTAAAAGTTGTTTACTCCTCTCCCAGCGCCATATTGTGGGAGAGCAGATGCATAGAATAAGTCTTAATTCCAGTAACTTAGTCTAGTCCGAGTTGCTCCCCACATTTAAGATGAATTTATTTACCTATTTTAAATGCAGAGCACGATAGACAAAGAGGCAGAGATGGAGATCTTCCATCTGCTGGTTCACTTCCCAAATGGCCAAATGGTTGGGGATAGGCTGGGCCTAAGCCAGGAGCCAAGAACTGCATCCTGGTCTCCCACGTGGCTGGCAGAGGCCCAGGATTAGCAGGAAGCTGAATCAGAAGTGGAATAGCCAGGATTTGAACTGCCACCCTGATATGGGATGCCAGCACTGCAAACAGCAGTTTAACTCACTGTGCCTGCCACCATCCCGGCCCCTGTTTTTATTTTTTGATTGTTTATTTTGCAAAGCAGAGAAGCAGGTAGAGAACTCCTGTCTGCTGATTTACTTCTCAAATGCCTGCAGCAGCCAGGGGACTGGGCCGAACTGAAGCTGGGAGCCAGGAACTCAGCCGGGGTCTCATGTAGATGGGAGGGACTCGGTCCTTGAACTGTCACTTGCTGCTGCCTCCCAGGGTGCACATTGGCAGTCAGCTGGAGTCATAGGCAGAGCCAGCAGGGCAGGCTTTGTGGGTTAAGCTCTCCCCTGCAGTGGGCATCCTGTTCTGTTTCTGATCTAGCTCCCTGCTATTGCACCTGGGAAAGCAGCCAAAGACGGCCAAGTCTTCGGGCCGCTACACTCACATGGAAGACTGAGATGAAGTTCCTGGCTTCTGGCTTCAGCCTGCCCCAGAACTGGCTGTTGCAGCCTTTTGGGGAGTGAGCCAGTTTGAGTTATTTGCCTTTCAAATAAATAATTTTTTTTTTTTTTTTAAGAACAGAGCCAGGACTTGAACCTGGTTACTTTGATATAGGATATTGGCATCCCAGGCAGGATCTTCACTCCTATGCCAAATGCCCACACCATTAAGTGTAAAGCTTAATTTAAACATTCAAGAATTCCACTATACTAAGTATTATCACACACTTCAGTCATTATCATACTGTTCTTCACCAAACCTTTAAAACTAAAGTATTAAAATTTATTTTTAAAGACTTTTTAAAAATTTGTTTAGTTGAGGCCGGCGCCGTGGCTCACTAGGCTAATCTTCCGCCTTGCGGCGCCAGCACACCGGGTTCTAGTCCCGGTGGGGGCGCTGGATTCTGTCCCGGTTGCCCCTCTTCCAGGCCAGCTCTCTGCTGTGGCCAGGGAGTGCAGTGGAGGATGGCCCAAGTCCTTGGGCCCTGAACCCCATGGGAGACAAGGGTAAGTACCTGGCTTCTGCCATTGGATCAGCGCAGTGCGCCGGCTGCGGCGGCCATTGGAGGGTGAACCAACGGCAAAGGAAGACCTTTCTCTCTGTCTCTCTCTCTCACTGTCCACTCTGCCTGTCAAAAAAAAAAAAATTTTTTTTTTTGTTTAGTTGAAAGGCAGAGTGAAAGAAAGAGAGGGAGAGACAAAGAGAAAAAGGGGTATTTTGTGCCCTGGTTCACTTCCCAAATGGACACACAGCCAGGGCTGGGCCAGGTTGAAGTCAGGAGCCTGAACTTCACTCAGATGGTCTCCCACATGGGTGGCAAGGGCACAAGTACTTTGGGCCTTCTTCAATTGCTTTCCCAGGCTTATTAGCAGGGAGCTAGATCAGAAGTAGAGCAGCCAGGACATGAACCAGTGTCACACGTGGCAATTTAAACTGCTGTGCCAAAATGTGGACCACTAAAAATGTATTTCTGACTAACTTACATAAGACCTCTGTTGGGCCGCCTAAGCCTCTGCCTCATGTCCCAGCTGCTTCTCTTCCCATCCAGCTCTCTGCTATGGTCTGGGAAAGCAGTAGAGGGTGGCCCAAGTCCTTGGACCCGCATGGGAGACCCAGAGCAAGCTCCTGGCTCCTAGCTTTGGGTCAGCCCACCTCCAGCCCTGGCAGCCATTTGGGGAGTGCACCAGTGAATGGAAGATCTTTCTCTGTTGCTCCCTCTGTCTGTAACTCTGACTCTCAAATAAATAAATAAAATCTTTAAAGAAATGAAAAAAAAAAAAAAAACCTCTTCTAATGTGTTGTATTTCTTCCAGGTGCACCCTGAAGACCACAAGTTAAATAAATACCATGACTGGCTCTGGGAAAATCATGAAAAATTAAGTCTGTCTTGAAACTAAAGTTTTCACATTTATCTGTTATGCATTGCTTTGCACTTTCCATTAGCACAGCCAGCCACTTTGCCAGGCATATAGATTTTAATTAGCCCAACTAGAAGCCCAGTTGGTATGTTCTCCCCCCCCCCCCCTTAATTTGAGAGACAAAGGATCATAGGGAGAACTTCATCTAGTATTTCATGCCCCCAGCTCCCACAGTGGCCTGCGCCAACCCCAGGAACTCCATGCAGGTCCCACATGTGGGTAGCAGGAACCCAGACACTTGAACTATCGCCACTGCTTCCCAGGATCCACAGCAGTAGGAAGCTGGAATCAGGAGCTGAAACTGGGAATCAAACCCAGGTACTCTGATAGGAGACATGAGCACCTTAACCACTAGACTGAACACCTGCCCCCTGGTGTTTATTTTCTTAATGTTGTATCACGGGTGGATCTTTGTCACTAAATGTGTTAGAACGTATTTTTAAGACTTAAAAAAATAATGTAACAAATCCCTAAAATGTGTATGACTTTTTCAATAATGAAATGTGATATGAAGTTGAAAAGCTTTATTCTAAACCATTGATAATATAAAGCAGATTTATATCAAGCCTGCTAAAGAAAAGATTAGACTTTCTGTTCTTCTGTAGAAAGTAATATTACACAATTGTTACATGAAGGAGAGTGTACAGTCCAACATGTAATGAAAGGTTTTATAAAGTATATTAGGCAGTTAATTAATAAAAATATTTTATTTTTAAAAAAAGCTAACCTGCAAAGAAAAAAAAGATTACTTTAGCATTTGTGTGTTCTTGATGACTCCACACTGACTTTTAGATTTGACCCCAGCATCCATTTAATAAGCTGATGTGAAAATCCACTTGAAGCCCCATGGCATCTTGCAAGCTATGGCTCATACATGGTACCTTGATGCTTTTGTGAAAATTCATCTCTCATCTTCCAGTCAGAAGGTGAGACCTTGTAAGCTTTATGCCATTTTTATTATGGAAGTTGTAGTTATAGTTCACATACTGAAATATTTACCTTAGAACTCACCAAAGAAAAAAAATTTTAACTATTGTAGTTGCCATTCTAAGGTATAGTTCGAAAATTAAATTGATTGAATAAATGAAACAAATCACTTGGTGGGGAAGCTGCCTTTGTTGTATTGTGTGAACAGAATCAGGATGGGTGTGACACAGGCCTGCTTGGCTGTTTGCATGTTAGTGAGCACGTGTCAAATTTTAGAGAGGGGTGGATTTTGATCAGAGAACAGGAAAATTGGCTGCAACTCCCATTCTGTGTAACAAACATCCACTAAATAATTTCCCTTCACATTTCCCTTTATCAGATGTTAAAGAGGTGTTCTTGAAATGCAAAACCCTGTGCAGGCACAAAGCTGAAAAGGTTCTGTAGGCCCTCACTGGAAGTGAGAAAGTAAAGGGAACAAAAGGGGTAAGGTCGAGGGAGCAGGGGTCAGACACCCAAACATGGCAGCTAAGGAGGCAGAGGGGCTCCTGAGCTCCCAGGCCACAGCCAGTGTGGAGTTCGGGCCAGCTCAGGGCACCAGGTGGTTGTGTGACAGGGCTGGCTGTCAGATCCCCTCCCCTGCCATCTCCATTGTGAGAGCCCGCAGCCCGGTTGCGCAGGTCCCAGGCCTGCCTCTTCGCCTTTACTGCAGGTGAAGTTGCCTCACCTCTGTATGTGGTTCCTCATCTCCTTAAAATGGGGCAGTGGTGCCTGCCGCCCAGGGTCATTGTGGTGTTGAAGTGGGTACATGTGAGTGAGTGCTTGCTTGCAGGAGAGCTCTGTTAATGTGGCCTCTGGGGGTGGGCTGAGCGCCTGCCTCAGGGTCGCTGTGCACCTCAGGAAGGCGATGACCAGCACAGAGGGAGCCTCCGCTCAAGCATTTTTGTTCCTAACTTAACATTGAGGTAAAAAGCACTGTTTAACATTTAAAGTGTACGACTCGGTGGTTTTAATACATTTAGTACGTTCACAGAGTAACCATCGTTAATTCTAGATCCCGTCCATCACACCAGGAGACACCTCATACCTGTTAGCAGTCGGCCCCAGCTGCCCCACCACTCTCCATCCCTGGCATCGGCTACCTCCTGCGTCTGGAGATTTGCCTCATCTGAACATTTCGTGTAAATGGAATCATCTAGCACAGGCCCTTTGTGTCTGTCTGCCTTCCTGTGGCCACTGTTTGGAAAATTCATAAGTGTTTAGCTTCCGTCAGTTCATTCCCTTTTACGGCCACTGAATGCATGGGTGGATCCCATTTTATCAGCTAGTGGACATTTCAGACGTTTGTTTATCATGATTGAGTGGTTCTCAGGTTCTGTATTCCAAACCGTGGCGCCCTGTCAGGAGGAAGGCACAGCACACACCCGCCTCTGTTCTGCATTGGCTCACTCGGGTTCCTGCAGCGCTCAAAGTGGGAGGGAGGCCTAGAGAAAGAAGTGGAGATCTGCCAGAACTCCCACAGATGACGTTCGGAGGGCCGGGAATGTATCACTCCAGATTCAAGGGGCATTGGGCCAAACAGAAGTTCTGCCTTTGACCAGCCCTGGAACCGGGCACGGCCGTGATTTCCCGCTGACTTACTCAAGATGGGACGAAAGGAACCCGAAGGCGCTCGGCCGCCTGGGCGGTCGGCTCCCGCCGGCAGCCAGCAGGTGGCGGCGCAGAGCCAACCAGCGCTGGGCATCCGTAGTCATGGCAACAGGCTGCCTACACGCTTAGCGAGAGGGATTGTTTTCCTGTTAACCGTGGCACCCTCTCCCAGTGCCGCAATAAGGGATGATTCTTCGGAAGTTTATGAGAGCCTGTTGTTGGCGCTTGTTGCCAAGTCCCGCTAGCAGCGCCCTCTGCAGGAAGCCGTTAACGCCCCACTGAAATGTATGAGGTCCAGGACTCATTGTGTCGTTCCCACCCTAGGTGAAGTGTTGCCAATGAGTCGGGCCTGGTCAAGTACATTTCGGCCATGTCCGTGCCTCGGTCTGGTTGGAGTACCGGGTCGGGCTGCCCTCCCTTGGAGCCAGAATCCCGATCCAACTTCAGAGGTGAAGAATGGAGCTAAGCAGATAATTCAGAATAAGGAGGGGTGAATGCCGCTAGGTCCCCACCTCACACGCAGGAGTAAGGTCCACAGAGTGCGGGGGTTGGGAGGAACAGTTCCATGCCCCTCGAAGAGATCTTTACACACTGGGTCTTGAAGGATCAAAAGCAGTTTGCTAAACCAAAAGGGGGAAGAAAAGCATTTGAGTCAAGGGAACAGCATCCTCAGGAGCCCAGAGACCTGGTGTCTTCAGGAAACTGCCGCAGTCTCTCTGGAAATGACGTGAGAGAGGTCAGAAAGGACCAGGTCATGAAAGATGTTTTAAGCCAGGTGCTGGAGAAGCCGCTGAGTGTGACAGGAGTGGGGGCAGTCTGCTAAGACAGGGACTCAGTTGCCAGTCTCGGAGTGTTGGGTGTGGGGAGACAGGAGGTCTGGGGCCATCAGGCTTAAGACTGGAATTGTCACACTTCTCCAGTACCGCACTCATCCATGTCCAGTGGAGAAACAGGGCAAGCCAGAGCACTGGCTGCCTCACCCAGGAACCTGGTTTGGGCCCCAGTGATATAACTCAGGCTGGAGCTGCTTGGAGGTGGGGAGGAGGGGCCAGGCTGGAGGGGACTGCAAGGATTTGTGGGCTGATGGAGCTAGGACCATGGAAGGAGCTGTCAGAGATGAAGCTCCTGTTGGGAGCAAGGGGGACCTGATGGATAAGGTGCCATTCACAGGGATGGGGCTCCTACCTGGAGCAGGGGCTGGTTAGGCAGGGGCTGGAAACTGGACACAGGTTCATTCTTAGTAGGTTGAGGTTAAGATCCTGGAAAGCCATCCAAGTGGAGATGTTTTAGGAGTAACAGGATGTATGAAACTGGAGCTAAACCTAAGTCATAAAGATTGATGTGAGTGTCCTCAGCGTGAAGAGAGCCATAGAAACGAGAGTGGAGGAGATAGAGAGGGAAGAGAGCCTGAGTGTACGTCTGGAAGGCACTAATGACTGGATAGGCAGGAGCAGGAGCCAAGAATGGCAGCCAGCGAGGATGCGACATGGGGAGGGGTTTGGGTCAGAAGCCAAGGAAGAGTGGAATTGTTTCAGGCACCTCCATTCTGTCTCAGAAAAAGAGGGACCAGGCGTATTTTGGGGGCATCAGTGGGGAGGACTTGGTAAGACCATTTGGTAGAAATTCCAGGGAGACAAATTCTGGGTTGACAGGGACGTTTGCAGCAGGGTGAGGTGCCCCATGTGAAGTAGAGAAGTTCATGTCACAGAAAGGGATGGAGGGCCACCCTGTCTCACTCCACCTCTGAAGTAGATGAAAATAAGCAATTTTTTAAATGAGTGAAGGGTGGGCATATTGAAAATGGCTAATTTATTTATACAAAGTAACTCTAATAATTGATTCCAAACATTGCCATGCATTATTCCCATTTTACAGATGGAAACACTAAGACACAGAGAGGTCAAGTGACTTACCCCAAATCACACAATCAGTAAGTGGCAGTACCAGGGCTCAGATTCGTACATTCTGGCTCCTAAATGTCTGCTTTTTTTTTTTTTTAAAGATTTATTTATTTATTTGAAAGTTTCAGAGAGAAAGAGACAGAGAGATTATCTATTCACTGGTTCAGTCCCCAAATGGCTGCACCTGTTGGAACTGGGCCAAAGCCAAGCCCAAAGCCAGGAGCCCAGAGCTGCTTCTGAGTCTCCACATGGGTGCAGGGGTCCAACTACTCGGGCCATCTTCTGTTTAGCAGGGAGTTGGATCGGAAGTGGAGCAGCTGGGACTAGAACTGGTGCCCATATGGGATGCCGGCACCCCAGGCAGCAGCTTTCCCTGCTACACCACAGTGCTGTTCCCAAGCGTCTGCTCTTGAAGATGCTGTGTGGCCTGGATGATCAGACAAGATCAGATTGGCAGTTTTCAAGTTCATCCTCATGGCCAATTGGAAGAGTTGGGAGCTGCAGGTGGAGAGAATGAAGTAGGAGGAAGTTCCTAAAGCACTTAGCTTGGTGCCCGCTGTGGGGCGTGCCCAGACACATCACATGAAATTGTCTTCCTCATTAAAGTGAGGCAGTGATAAAGCCTGGCACCCCAGGGTCCTGACAGCCTGACGCTAATGCATTTTCCATTCCTGACTCCTTTTTGTCTTTTCTGGAAAGGAACTCGCCTTTTAACCCTCTTCCCACAGTGTTCTACCACTCTTCAGTCGAAAATGAAAACACCAGCAAGGTGCCTATCTTCAATCCTGAACCGATCACCGCCCACTGCTTCAAGCAGTTCAAGCAGAAGGACTTTCACCTGCCTCAGAGCCGCCGGCGAATCATCATCGTGCCTGGCAAGGAGGACCAGGGGCCCACCAATGCCACACCACAGCCCCATGCTCCTCTACAGCCCGCCCCCCGCTGCAAAGCCCTGGAAGCTGAAGACATCCAGGAGCAGCAGGAGGACCGGAAAACCTGGCTGAGCAAGAAGCTGATGCTGAAGAAGGAGCTAGAATCCTTTGGTGACTTAAAGAGGTGGCTGGAGAACAAGCCCAGTGTCACGCCTGTGGAGGCCAAGGCGCTGAACAAGGTCCGTGAGCAGCAGGCCACTCAGCTGGGGGACCACTTGACCCTTATCAGGACCGCCAAGGTAAGCAGCCCCATCGGCCAGATGAAGATAGTGAGCGTTTTAGGGACATGCTGTCTTTGTGTTCCTTTGGGTTAGGTGGGAAGGGAATGGCTCACCCCATTTCACAGAACAGTAAGCAGAAGCCCCAAAAGGAGGTGTATTGGTTACCTGTTGCTGCTTAACAAATACCCCAAAATGTCTTAAAGCAACACATATTTATTACCACACACAGTGTCTGAGACGCTGGGATCAGGGAGCAGCGGAGCAGGGTAACTGTGGTTCAGTGTCTGACGAGGCTTCAGTCCAGACGTTGGCCTGGACCACAGTCATCTGAGGTCTCAACCAGGGCAGGAGGATCTGCTGCCAAGCTGGCTCACTCACGTCTGCCGGAAGGAGACCTCAACTCCTCCGCATGCGTAGTCTTCACGGTATGGCTGCTGGCTGCCCTACTGGGAACAGTCCAGGAAAAAGAGCGAGGACAAGGCAGCAATGTCTTTTGGGGAAAAAAAAAAAAAAAAAAAAACTAGTTGAAAGACAGAGGCAGGGAGGCAGGGAGCTGCTATTGTAGCATAGCAGCTAAAGCCACTGCCTGAGACGCTGGCACCCACATGGGCACTGGATCTTCCGCTGATCCAGCCGCCTGCTAATGGCCTCGGAAAAGCAGTGGAAGATGGCTCAAGTGCTTGGGCCCCTGCCACCCACATGGGAGACCCACATGAAGCTCCTGGCTTGCCCTGGCCCAGACATGGCTGTTGCAACCATTTGGAGAGTGAACCAGTAGATGGAAGATCTCGTTCTCTCCTTCTCTTTCCCTCTCTCTCTGTAACTATGACTTTCAAATAAATAAATAAATAAAAAAGAAGATTATTTCCCACTTGCTAATGCATTCCCCAAATACCAGCAACAGCTGGGGCTGGGCTAGGCCAAAGCCAGAAGTCCAGAGCTCAGTCTGGGTTTCCTGCATGGGTAGCAGGGACCCAACTACTTGAGCCATCACCTGCCGCCTCCCAGGGTGTGCATTAGCAGGAAGCAGGGATGGGTCCAGGCCCTCCAATTTGGGATGTGGGTGTTGCAGCTGGCATCTTAACCACTGCAACCAATGCCCACCCCTGCTATGCCTTTTATAACCGAGGCTCCAAGATTCTGTTTTAGAAGCTTCACACTGTTACTTCTGACACATTCTATTTTGAAGATTTTTTTTAAAGATTTATCTATCTAAGAGGCAGAGTAACAGACAGAGAGAGGGAGAGATAGAGAGATCTTCCATCCACTGGTTCACTCCCCAAATGGCCATAACAGCTAGAGGTGGGCCTATCCAAAGCCAGGAACCAGGGGCTTCTTCCAGGTCTCCCGTGGGTGCAGGGGCCCAAGCTCTTGAGCCATCTTCCACTGCTTTCCCATGCACATTAGCAGGGAGCTGTATCAGAAGAGAGAAGCCAGGATTCATATAGGAGTCAGCCAGAGCCCATATAGGATGCTGGAGGCGCAGGCGGAAGCTTTACCTACTGTGCCACAGCACCGGCCCAGGTACATTGTCTTCATCAGGAATGAATCACTGGGTACTCCCACTTGTAATGGAAAGGGAATAAGGTGCCATCGCAGAAGGAGAAGAGTTGGAGAATTTGTGACTATATGTGTTTGTTTATTTGAAAGGTAGTGTCGCTCCCCCTCTTCGTGGAGGAACGACACAGGACCCTGCGCTGTTCTTTTGTCTGCTCGGCCCTCCCCGGGTCCGCTGCTGGTTCTTCCCGGGTTGGCTACTATCCCTTCCACCTCCGTGGAAGGGCAGTTCCCCCTGGCCGCTTTCCCCACTTCCGCAGGGGAGCGGCACACCGCCGGCCGGCTCTTCTCGGGGGCTGCACAGGTGTTCCTTCAGCTAGATGTTCCCCTTAGATGTTCCCTGGTGCATGCCGTCTCTCTCCTCCTTTATAGTCCTCCTCCGCCAATCCCAACTCGGCTGCCCACACGCCGAGTACGCTGCTCTCCTCCAATCAGGAGCAAGTCCTACAGTTTATTAGCTGAACTGGAGGCAGCTGTGCGGAAGCTGTTTACTTCTCTCCCAGCGCCATATTGTGGGAGAGCAGATGCATAGAATAAGTCTTAATTCCAGTAACTTAGTCCAATCCGGATTGCTCCCCACAGATCCCCCTTTCTTTTTATTTTTTGGCGTTGATACGCGCCTGTCTTCGGTGTCCCGCGGCACACACTCTGCTCTACTTGCTAGAGTTGCCACAGGTTCTTACAAGTCCTATCAGGCAAACCGAATCCGGGTCCTCTCTTCGCCATGTTATGAGGAGGTTTTTAGGCGCTGATGCGTGCCTGTGTTCGGTGCCCCGCAGCGCATGCTCTGCTCTGCCTGCAGGGGCTTACAAGCCCTAACAATCAGGCAAACCGAATCCAAGCCTTCTCATTGCCGTATTGTGGGGGAGGCCTTACTGATGTTAATTCGTGCCTGTCTTCGGTGACCTGCGGCGCATAAGCTGCTAGCTGCCCGCAGGTGCTCATCGCCTCACTTAATCAGGCAGACCGAATCCAAGCTCTCTCATTGCAGTGTTGTAGGGAGGCCTTTCTATTTCTCTATTTCTGTATCTCCGGGCATTCCTATTTCTCCCATTTTACTTCTATCTTCCAGCATTCCTATTTCTCTCACTTTACTTCTAAACTTCTGTTTCTCTTATCCCCGCAGCTTCCCGGCACCTCGCCCTGCCGGCAGGCTCCGCCCCGAGGCTATTTCTCCGCGGCTTTCCGGCTGAGCCGCTTCAGCCCGCTTTGCGCGCACACTCCGCAGTCTCGCACTTAACCCTTTCGCGTCTGAACCACGGCCTCGCGCCAGCCCCGTTCCCTATCTATTCACGCCCCGTGCTCTCTCTGCACGCGGCGGCTTCCGCGAGTCACACAGCGTAGCTTACGTGTCCGCCACTAGCATTCAATCTAAGTTCCCCGGGCTAGCCTGGCGAATTCAACCCAGCTTACGTCTCCGCCCCACGGTTTGGCTTCCCGTCCTTTGCTCCCCGGGCTAATCAGACGGATCCCAATCTGGCTTACTGTCGCTCCCCGTCTTCGTGGGGGAACGACACAGGACCCTGCGCTGTTCTTTCGTCTGCTCGGCCCTCCCCGGGTTTGCTGCTGGTTCTTCCCGGGTTGGCTACCGACCCTTCCACCTCCGTGGAAGGGCAGTTCCCCCTGGCCGCATTCCCCACTTCCGCAGGGGAGCGGCACACCGCCGGCCGGCTTTCTCGGGGGCTGCACGGGTTCCCTTAGATGTTCCCCATAGATGTTCCTGATGCATGCCGTCTCTCTCCTCCTTTATAGTCCTCCTCCGCCAATCCCAACTCGGCTGCCCACACGCCGAGTACGCTGCTCTCCAATCAGGAGCAAGTCCTACAGTTAATTGGTTGAACTGGAGGCAGCTGTGCGGAAGCTGTTTACTTCTCTCCCAGCACCATATTGTGGGAGAGCAGATGCATAGAATAAGTCTTAATTCCAGTAACAGTCTAGTCCGGTTTGCTCCCCACAGCTTACGTTTCAGCTTCTGGTTTCAACTTTTCGCCCCCCCATTCCCGGGCTAACTTGAGAATCCCAAAGTGGCTTTCGTTTCAGCCTCGGCCTGCCCCCCGCGGCTTCAATTTCCCTAACACTTTTCTCTACCCGGTATGTTTCCCTAAGTTTTCCTCCAACAATATTCCTCCCTCATTTCTCCTGGCCTCTCCCCACAGTCCGCATCCGAGTCTGTTTGTTCTAGCTTTCACTTTCGCTTTCGACCTTAGAGATTTCTCCCAGCTTCCCCCCGTAGTCCGTATCTGAGTCTATGCCTAGGCTTTTCAATAGCTTCTTCCGGCACCTTTTTCGTCCGGCTTTTCAATAGCTTCTTCCGGCACCTTTTTCGTCCGGCTTTTCCCTAGGCTGTTTGCTAGTCTCTCTTTCCGATATTTTCCCTAGGCTGTTTGCTAGTCTCTCTCTCCGATATTTTCCCTAGGCTGTTTGCTAGTCTCTCTCTCCGATATTTTCCCAGTTCTTCCCGTTTCTTCCCTCCTAAGTTTGCTATCCGTCCTAGGTTTCCTATCCGACCTAAGTTTCCTATCCGAGTCACGGCACCATTATGTCGCTCCCCCTCTTCGTGGAGGAACGACACAGGACCCTGCGCTGTTCTTTTGTCTGCTCGGCCCTCCCCGGGTCCGCTGCTGGTTCTTCCCGGGTTGGCTACTATCCCTTCCACCTCCATGGAAGGGCAGTTCCCCCTGGCCGCTTTCCCCACTTCCGCAGGGGAGCGGCACACCGCCGGCCGGCTCTTCTCGGGGGCTGCACAGGTGTTCCTTCAGCTAGATGTTCCCCTTAGATGCTCCTGGTGCATGCCGTCTCTCTCCTCCTTTATAGTCCTCCTCCGCCAATCCCAACTCGGCTGCCCACACGCCGAGTACGCTGCTCTCCTCCAATCAGGAGCAAGTCCTACAGTTTATTAGCTGAACTGGAGGCAGCTGTGCGGAAGCTGTTTACTTCTCTCCCAGCGCCATATTGTGGGAGAGCAGATGCATAGAATAAGTCTTAATTCCAGTAACTTAGTCCAATCCGGATTGCTCCCCACAGGTAGAATTGATGAATTTGTGAATTTATTTATTTATTTGAAAGGCAGAGTACAGAGAGGCAGAGGCAGAGAGAGAAGTCTTCCATCCACTGATTCACTCCCTAAATGGCTGCAACTGCTAGAGCCAAGCTGATCCAAAGCCAGGAGCCAGGAGCCTCCTCTGGGTCTCCCACGTGGGTGCAGGGGCCCAAGGACTTAGGCCAGCTTCCACTGCTTTCCCAGACTCATTTAGCAGGGAGCTGGATCAGAAGTGGCACATCCAGGACTCAAACTGGCGCCCATATGGGATGCCAGCATTGCAGGCAGTGTCTTTACCCACTATGGCACAGTGCCATCCCCCCCAGTCCATCTTGTTTTTTTGGATGTTTAAAAATACTCATTGTTGGGGTCAGTTAAGCCACTGTGGGTTAAGCCACTGCCTGCAGCTTGCATCCCACATGATTGCTGGTTTGAGTTGCAGCTGCTCTACTTCCACTCCAGCTCCTAGCTAATGCACCTGGGAAAGCAGCAGAAGATGGCCCAGGTACCAGGGCCCCTGCTTCCCACATGGGAGCCCTGGATGGAGTTCCAAGCTCCTGGCTTCAGCCTGGCACCTTGCAGCCATTTAGGAAGTGAACCAGCAGATGGAAGCTCGTTCTCTTTCGCCTTCTCTCTCTCTCTTTTTCCTCTTTTTCCCTCTGTGTTCCCTCTCTCTCTCTTTCCCTCCCTCCCTCCTTCCCTCTCTCTTTCTCTAACTCTGTCTTTCAAATAATAAGTTTCTTTAAAAAATAAAATACAAATCCTCACTGTTTATTTGCTCTATGTGCCACCCACCTGGCTGTTGGGAAAATCACAATGGTGAGGTTGGGAGAAGGAAAATCTTCCTTTGACAGACATGGAAACAAGTTCAGGGAGGCCAACACTTTGCTGCACCTGTGGAGACAGGAGATGACCAAATCAGTAACAACTCCTTGTCTGTAGGTTGTGGTACAACCACTGAAACTTCTCCTGATTCCAGTTGGAATGCGGGGTCAGATACCTTGAATTGAAATACAACACAGTTACTGACCTGAGACTCACTTCCCTCATCAGGTGTTCTGGGGTAAAGCAGGGGTAACCATGGTGCCTACCTCTTGGGGTCGCGGTGACATCCAAATGCCTAAATCATATAAGGTGCCTCAGCCAGCACCAGGAACATAGCGAGCCCTCAATAGATGTTTGCCATTTTCATTATCATGGCCATCTTTCTGGAAACATTTGGCTTGGTTGGCTAAGAAACTTGAGGGTTGGTTCTTGCTGTTATCGTAGCCAAAATCTGATTCTCCAAGATCTAACCCACCCCTTTCTGCCAGCAGCAGTGTCTGTGAATAAGCAGAGAACTGAGGGTAGAAACCCAGCCCCACTGCTCACCTGCTGTGTGATCCTAGGAACGTCACTTCACCTCTCTGAGCCTGATTTCTCATTTGTCAGCAGATAAAGTAATAGCTAATTCATAGCATCCTTTAGTCACGCAGCAAACAACTGCTTGTTGCCTGCCCAGGGCCTGGGGCTTTGTGAGATACAAGCATTGGAGACGGGGTGCCTGGTGAAATAAGATGTGGTCTTGCTCATGAGGTCTTCAGTGTTCTGGAGGAGGCAGACATAAGCCAAGTAGTGACCCTCCTGCCTGCTTGGGCCACCCATAAAGGGGGGTCCACAACACTCCAGATGCACAGAGTGGCCATGAGCTGGGGACCAGGGAGTCCCTTTGGAGACTGTCCAGCAGTGCACAGAGGTGCGGGAGTAGTTTCATTACAAAATAATCCCCTTACCCTGGAAGTGGAGCAGGCGGAGAATTTGGACAGAGAGAGAAAAAGGGAAAGGTGTTCCAGGCCAGGCAGGAGGCCCCACCTGCTGTGGAAGGGCATGGACTGTGGTGCCCTGAGAGACCAGTGTCATTACAGACACGGACAGGTGTGACAGGATAAGACTGACGTTTCCCTTCTCACATCTAGATGGGGGGACAGGCTCAGAGGAGCAAGCTCTCCCAGGTGTTCTGGGGTGCAGGAGTGCTCTCATGACAATGCCCCGAGCAGCTGGGCTGACCTCAGTGCCCTTGGCACTCTGCCGTCAGCTCAGCTTCTCTCTCCCATTCCCTCTGACTCTGGGAAGTACACCTTCTTGGCCTGTCTCCCTCAGACTCACTCCTCCACCCCACTTTCTGTCTCTTCCACAAGGAAGTCCTCCAACTCTCCCCCCGCCGGATGGTGCCCCAGCTCCGGCTGCCCAGGCCCTCGTCCCTGTCAGCCTTGTACTCCTACCTGTACAGCCGCAAGATCGAGATCCTGGATTTATTTAACAAAGTGGATCGGAGCAAGTACCAGAAGATCACCAGGGAGCAGTTCATCCTGGCTCTAAAGGCAGTAAGTGTCACCTACTTCCCAGCAGGACACACCTGTCCCCTCACCCAGTCTCCCACTCCAGGTTAGGGACCAACTCAAGTACCACAGGGAGCATAAACTGTCAGCATTATAACTTTTTTTTTTAAGATTTATTTATTTATTTGAAAGAGTTACACAAAGAGAGGAGAGACAGAGAGAGAGAGAGAGAGAGAGAGAGAGGTCTTCTGTCGGATGGTTCACTCCCCAGTTGGCTACAATGGCCAGAGCTGTGCCGATCTGAAGCCAGGGGCCAGGAGCTTCTTCCAGGTCTCCCATGTGGATGCAGGGGCTCAAAGACTTGGGCTGTCTTCTACTGCTTTCCCAGGCCATAGCAGAGAGCCGGATTGGAAGTGGAGCAGCCAGATCTCGAACCAGCACCCATATGGGATGCCAGTGCTTCAGGCCAGGGCATTAACTTGCACCACAGTGCCAGCCCCAAGCATTATAAATTAAAAAGCCAGACTGGGCCGGCACCGCGGCTCAATAGGCTAATCCTCCACCTAGCGGCGCCGGCACATTGGGTTCTAGTCCCAGTCGGGGCACCAGATTCTTTCCCGGTTGCCCCTCTTCCAGGCCAGCTCTCTGCTGTGGCCCGGGAGTGCAGTGGAGGATGGCCCAAGTGCTTGGGCCCTGCACCCACAAGGGAGACCAGGAGAAGCACCTGGCTCCTGCCTTCGGATCAGTGCAGCGCGCCAGCCGTGGCGGCCACTGGAGAGTGAACAAACAGCAAAAAGGAAGACCTTTCTCTCTGTCTCTCTCTCTCACTATCCACTCTGCCTTTAAAAAAAAAAAAAAAAAAAAAAAAAAAGCCAGACTGGAAAATGTGGCTTCCCTGTAGCCACATCAGACCCTTGAAATCAACCTTGCACCCCTATGTAAGTTTATAGAGCCCTTGCAACATGAGCCAGCTGCCTGGGAAGTTGCCATTTTGCCTCTCAGACCCCAGAACTGAGCCCAGAGACAGCAGGGCCCTCAGTCCTGCCTCTAGAAGCTTCTAGAATTTCTTAAGCTCTCATTGGCCATTTGAATCCTATGGGGTCTTGTCAAAATGCAGCATTTGCACCCCCCTCCGGAGGACCTGGATTTGATTCCCTGCTCCAGCTTCTGACTCCAGCTCCCTGCCAGTGCAGACCCTGGGAGGCAGCAGGCAGCAGGTGATGGCTCAAGTGCTGGAGTCTCTGCCTCCCAGGTGGAGACCTGAAACAGGGCCTCAGCCCAGCCCTAGCCCTTGCGGGTATTTGGGAAGTGAGCCAGTGGTTGGAGATTTTCTTTCAGCGTCTCTTTCTGTCTCTAGTGCTTGATCTCTCTTAAATAAATAAGTACTTTTTTAAAAATGCAGTTTCTGACTCAGTACATCTGTGCAGGGCCCAAAATACTGCATTTCTTCTTCTTTTTAAAAAAAAAAAACAATTTTTTTAATCTGAAAGGCACAATAACTCAGAGAGGGAGAATAGAGAATTCCTCCAAATGCTGACTCACTCCCCAAATGGCCACATTGGTGGAGCTAGGCCCGGCTGAAGCCAGGAGTGTGCAACTCCATCCTTCTACTGATTTGTCAGGTGCATTAGCATCAAACCAGCACCCTGATGGGGATGGTAGCTTTGCAAGTACAGTTTAACCCACCGAACCACAGCACTGTCCCCAAGATGCTGTGTTTGTTTTAAAGATTTATTTATTTATTTGAAAGTCAAAGTTAGAGAGAGAAGGGAGGCAGAGAGAGAGAGAGGTCTTCCATCCGCTGGTTCACTCCCCAGATGGCCGCAACTGCGGGAGCTGTGCTGATCCGAAGCCAGGAGCTTCCTCTGGGCCTCCCATGCGGGTACAGGGGCCCAAGGACTTGTGCCATCTTCTACTGCCTTCGCAGGCCACAGCAGAGAGCTGGATCGGAAGTGGAGCAGCTGGGACCTGAACTGGCGCCCATGTTGGATGCTGGCACTGCAGGCAGCGGCTTTACCCTCTATGCCACAATGGCAGCCCCAAGATGCTTCATTTTTAGCAGTGCTCCCAGTGGTCCCACTTTTACTTGTACTATCTATTTAAACATTTAAATTAATTATACATAAATGGAAATTTTAATCTAGTTCTTTTGTTTTTAAGGAGGACTTAAATTTTAAATTTCATTTATTTGAAAAGTAGTGAAATGGAGAAAAACAGAGGGAAGTTTTCCATTTGCTTACTCACACCCCAAATTCTTGGAATAGGCAGGGCTGGGCCAGGCCAAATCCGGGAGCTAAGACCTGAGTCCAGGTCTGCAGTGTGGGTGTCAGGAGCCCAGGTACCTTGCCATCACACACTGCCTCCCAGGGTGCACATTAGTGGGAAACTGGAATCCGAACATGAGCTGGGGCTCAAACCCAGGCTCTCCAACATGGCACGGGGGTGTCCTAAGTCCAAACCCCACCCAAATAAATAAAATTTAAAATCCATTTCCTCAGATACACCAGCCACATTTCAAATGCTCCATAGTCTCATGTGGCAAGTGGTTTGCTCAATGGAAAACATCTCCATCGTCTCAGAGTTCTGCTGGTATAGCAGAGGTCTGCAGACTGGCACATCCAGCCTACCCCCTTTAAAATGAAGTTTTGTTGGATCACAGCCACACTCATTCATCTGTGTGTTGTCTCTGGCAGGGACAGAGTTGAGTAGTTGGACAGGGGCCGTGTGACTCACAGAACCTCAAATGTTGATTGTCTGGCCTTCTCTAGAAAATGCTTTTATGTATTTTGAATACAATAAAACATACCAAAAAACAAACTAGTGGGTGGGTGTTGTGGTACAACAACTTTGGCCACCGTTGGGATGCCTGCATCCCATTTCAGAACACCTGTGACCAGCTACCACCTCTGCTCCTGATTCAGCTTCGCGCTAATATTCCTGAGAGGCACCAGGTAATAGCCCAAGTACCTGGAGGCCAGGATGGAATTTCTGGCTACCGGCTTCAGGCTGTCCCAGGCCAGGCTATTGTAGGCATTTGGAGAGTGAAACAGTGGCTGGAAGATATCTCTCTTTCTCTCTCTGTTGCTCTGCCTTTCAAATAAATAAAAATGAATAAACATTTTTAAAATATAAAAATAAATCTGAGGGGAACAATTTAGGAAGGAAGAAGTTTTATTAAAAAAAAAAATTTAGGAAGTTGACTCCTACCCCATAACCAAAATAATAATAATAATAATAATAATAGTAATAAAAGTATTAAACCCTCAGCAGCAGGAGAGTGCTGATCTTATGTAAGGGGGGCTCAGTAAAGAATTATTGTTTTCTAAAGAAGCTGAGGGGCATCCTATTTCCTTTAAAACTTTTCTTGAATATTCAGTGTTGCTGGACAACATCACACACCTGCAAAGGTGCGCCCTTCCTTAAAAGAGGGAGTGGTAGAGTATCTCTGCTCCCACCTCACTCCCAGCAGGCAGGCGTGGTCCTGAGAGATGAGGGCGGTCGGCGTGGGCACCCATTCTCCTGGTCCAGTGCGGTGAATGCTGCCTTTGACGTGGGCATGCAGCAGGGAGGAATGAGAGGAGGACGCAGCCTGTAGGGTGGCACCCTTCTGGAATGGGCCTTCAAAGAGGGATAAGGGCTCTTCAGGCACAGAGGAGGGAACTGAGGGCACAGGTGGCACAGGGAGTGTGTCCGGGACCAGGAAAGGGACCTGGCACGTGAGCTGGGAGTGGTATGGGTGGAACTGAAGATGAGGACAAGGGCGTGGGGCCCAGGCTGACAAGGCTTTGCCTGAGGGATGTCTGTTCTCTCCCTAGATCAGAGTTCCTCTGATGCAGCAGGAGGTGGAGGATGTAGTAATCTACCTGGGCTCCCTGGGGAAGCACAATACCATCACACTGGACATCGTCACCACCACCTACAGGAAGTGGGCCCTGACCCAGCAGAGGAGCACCGTGCCCACCGCGAGGGAGTGTGTGTAGTCCCCGCTGCCCCGTGCCTCCACAGCCTGTCCTGGGAGCAAGGGTGGGACGGGCTCCTGCAGCGCTCACCTCTGAGTGTGTTCTTCCTCCGGCTCCCTGGGCGCTGGCCACACCTCTAGAACTTCCAGACCCAGAGTTGGACTCAGGAGGAGTCACTTCTGTCCACTCAGACACGTGAGGCCCAGACCCTGTCCTCAGAGGAGGACGTTCAGCAGGCAGCGCCAGTCCTCACATCCCATCCGACAGGTGCAGAAGTGACCAGGATGGCAAATCTTTCCCAAAGCATTTCTCTGGGTGTGGGGCCAGGGCCTCCCTTCTATGAATCCACAATGCAGTGATAAAAATTAATTGAAATTCGTTGTTCACAAAGCAGAATTGGGTTGTGTGTGGAGTTACTGGAAAGTCCTCTTGGGAATTCTGTCAGGGGTATATAGCGGGGTTGCCATGAACAGTTACACAGGTTGTACACACACGGGGTTCCGTTTGCCAAGCTGTGCATTGGTGAGGCCTCCTCTGTCCAGGCAAGACACAGAAGCTAAAGCTCTGGTTTTGGATTTACTCTAGAATGCAAGGGGTATTGTGTTTCACATTTTTATGCCATTATTGTTGTTTTTTTAAAAAAATAGAAAACTACAACCTCTCCCCTGCATTCCAGCGCACTCCCCGCATTCACACATCTCTTTTTCTCAATGAAATGAGAATGCACCCCTCCCCCACCAGGTAGGCAGGCATTTCATCTCAGATGTGTTTGGGAGGCTTCCCACCATCCTCGAGGTGGCAGAAGAGCCCTAGAGGGGCAGTGGAGGGGTGTCAGGTGTGCTTCCCTAGGTCAAGACGGAGCAGGGCCCCTGGAGTTCACGGTTGTCCTCCCTGGTGTGGTTCACTTGGAGATGGTGTGCAGACTCTCAGAATGTCTTCTTCCAGTTCCCCGGGGGATTGCCCATCGCCAGTTTCCACAGGCTGTACTGCAGAGGCCCTGTCATCCCGTAGGCAGGGTCTCCACCCCTCTAAGAGCCCAAGGGACCTGAGCATCTGGGTCAGACAAAGGCCCTGAGGCAGCCGTGCCTTCAAGGAGGCTAGGCGGGGTGAGATGGGTTTGGTGGGAGGGCCGCTGAGGCCAGACCCGGCCAGCTGTCATGGCCAAGGGACAGGCCCCTGGGTTTTAGTTTAGGTGCCAGGGAAAGCCGGGGAAACAAGGTAATCCTAGTTTATACTATTTGAAAGTCCTGTTTGCTACTAGGTGGAAACAAGGTGACAGAGGATCAGAAAAGTAGCAAGAAGGTGAGGGCGGCCACAGCAGGGAGGGAGAGATGCGGTCAAGGTGTCTCGGGTGAGCTCTTTCCAGCCGTGGGAAGGAGGCAGGAGGGTGGCCTGGCCTGCGTGGTGATGTCAGACAGCTGCCTGGCACAGTCCACGGCTGGGCCCCCTCTTAGCTCCTCCTTCCTCTGTGTCTTCCTCCAACTCCAGTCTTCCTCTTGGCGAGACAGAAGATCCCCTTACAGGCTTCACTCAAGAGGCAGAAAGTAGATTCCGTCTCACAGCCTCGCCAGATGGACCTACTGACAGTGCCCGAGGTTGACACAAAGACGGAGGCGAGGCCCTTGACCCTGGAGGAGATGGAGGACGTGGGCAAGCGCTACCGCGAGAGGAAGCGGCTGCAGAAGGTACTCGACCAGCCAGGGGGCTCGGGGCTCCAACGCTGGCAGCCTGGGGTCCAGCCATTGCGCTGGCCCCACCTGCTCAGCCTACCCCGGGGGGCTCGGGGCTCCAACGCCGGCAGCCTGGGGTCCAGCCATTGTGCCAGCCCCACCTGCTGGCCAGGGGTATGGGGGACCTTCCAGGGGACTTCACCTCTCTGGGCCCTTGCTCTCTCATCTGTGTGATAAAAATAATACCTTCCTCACAAGGTGTTTGTGAAGACGAAATGAAATCAGTCCCTTAAGGACCCAGTTCCCCTCTACCCATTCTTTTTTTTTTTTTTCTTTTTAAATTATTATGTGAAAGAGAGAAAGAGACAGAGACAGACACTTCCTAAATGGCCACAATGGCCAGTGTTGGACCAGGACAAAACCAGGAGCCAGAACCTGCATCTGGGTCTCCCACGTGGGTGGCAGGGAGCCAAGTACTTGGACCGTCTTCCATTGCTTTCCTAGGCTGTTAGCAGAGAGCTGGATGGGAAGTGGAGCAGCTAGAACATGAACCAGTACCTGTAGAGGATGCTGGCGTCGCAGGCGGCAGCTTTACCCAGTGATGTGGCCCCTCTGCCCTTTCTTTTAATGATGATTTTGTGTCCGGAGACCAAGGGCTTGGCACAGGGTCCAGGGCTGCACAGATGACGGAGAAGTGAGGGGTGCAGGAATGAAAGGTCGGTGATGGGTTAGCTCATCTAGTAACTGCCTGCCCAGAGCCTGCCACAGCGCGGGGCACATCCTGGGTCCTGTAGTGCAGTTCCTGCCCTCGGGAAGCGGTCAGGCTGGTCAGCGAGGCAGACAGCATTGCTGTGACGTCTGTCATTGCTTGAAGTCTGTCCTATCTGAATGCGTGAGTGAACACGGGCTGAAAGGACAGATGCTAAGTGCCATTACATTCAGTTCCATGGCAAGAAAAAGTCCAATGTTCAACCAGGAGTCAGCAAATCTCTCTGTAAAGGGTCAGACAGTAAACATTTCCAGCTCTGCAGACCACGCGGTCTCTGTCTCTGATACTCAGCTCCCACAGACAGCACCTCAATGTGTGAGGTGGCCACGTGCCAAGAAAACTTTATTTATAAAAACAGAGGGGGAGGCCGGCGCCGCAGCTCACTAGGCTAATCCTCTGCCTAGCGGCGCCAGCACACCGGGTTCTAGTCCCGGTCGGGGCGCCGGATTCTGTCCCGGTTGCCCCTCTTCCAGGCCAGCCCTCTGCTGTGGCCAGGGAGTGCAGTGGAGGATGGCCCAGGTGCTTGGGCCCTGCACCCCATGGGAGACCAGGAGAAGCACCTGGCTCCTGGCTCCTGCCATCGGATCAGCGCGGTGCACCGGCCGCAGTGCGCCGGCCGCGGCGGCCATTGGAGGGTGAACCAACGGCAAAGGAAGACCTTTCTCTCTGTCTCTCTCTCACTGTCCACTCTGCCTGTTAAAAAAATAAATAAATAAACAAACAAACAAACAAACAAACAGAGGGGGAGTCGGACGGGCATTGCAGCACAGTGGAATAAACTTTCACTTGCAAAGCCCACACCGCCGTAGGAGTGGTTCCAGGGTTCCAGTAACGGCTGCTGTACTCCAGTCCAGCGCCCTGCTAACGATGAGTACTTGAGTTCCTGCCTCCCACGTGGAAGACCCAGATGGGATCCTGGCTCAGGCTTTGGTCTCACCAGGCCTGGCTGTTGCGGCCATTTGGAGAGTGAACCACTCTGTCTCTTCTTCAGTTGCTGCCACTCTGGCTTTCAAAAACAGACAGACACACCAGGTTAGGGGGCTAGATTTGGCCTACAGGCTGAACTTTGCTGATTCTGTTAGAATTTTTAAAAAGATACAAAGATACTTTTGTTTTCCTTCTTGGAGGAGGAAGAACGGCAGCTACAAGCTACAAGCTGCCACACACTCCCCAGCAGCCCCCCACCCCCACCCCGCGCCGTGCCACCTTAGCCCCTGACTTCCACTAATTTAAGTCCATAGGCAGTCTTCTAGACTGTGTGCCCTGCTCTGGGCCCTGCGCCTCTGTCCGAGAGATGCCCCTGCGGCACTAGTGTCGTGCCCCACGGTGTGTGTCCTGCAGCCCTATGCCTATCTGAGTTTGGGCTGTGCCCGCAGAGCCACGTGTCCTGGGCACTCACACATTCTTCAGAGTGGCCTTGACTGACGCACTGATTTCACGACCTGAACCGCAGCCCCCACCCCCAGCTCCGGGGGTGGGGGTGGGGGCGGGGCGTGGAGGTGGACGAAGCACTGCGCACGGAGGAAGGACACACAGCCCCGGCTCTCGGCGCTCTCTCTGCAGCACCTGATCCCGTCCATCCAGTACACGGAGCGCTGCCGCCTGGTGCGCTGCGGCAATGAGCGCATCGATGAGCACTGCCTCCCGTCCACCCTCTCTGGGGAGATGAGGGAGATGGTCGACAGGACGCGCAGGGACACCTTTCTGGTCTACCTGCAGTGCTGGAAGCTCTGCGAGTTCTACAGCCTCCCGCTGACGGAGGACATCCTCATGAGAGGTCAGAAACTGTGACCGGCCCCGGGCGAGATGCCAGGAGCGCCCTGGGCTGGGGCGAGGGTGGCATCCGCCCCGCACTGCGGCCTGTGGTGGGGACGCTGGGAGGGAGGGAGAAGGGGAAGAACGGTCTGCTTTGCTGCTAGGTGGGATTCCCAGGACACAAGGCCCAGAGGCCTGGGTTCCCCAGATGTGGTTTTGGGGGTTCTGGATTCTGGAGCCCGGAGCCTGGCGAGCTGGAATGGCATTCTAGAGCCGGAAGCACCAGGGACCGGAGTTCTGGGTGAGTGAGCCCTCAGGTTACGCATGAAGGGAACAGCTCCGAGATGGAAGCAGGAGATCTGATGCAAAGGCTCACTGCTGTCAAAGCCCCTCTCCAGGCCAGGCCTGCTCCCTGGAGCTTCTGCAGAAGCCGCGAGAGAGGAAGGTGCAGCAGTCGGGGCTGCCGAGGCCTTGCTCTGCTCGCAGGACAGGGCTCAGGCCCGAGGACCCCCCACCCAACCCCCCCACCCCAGCCAGCGCATCCTCTGTTTGGGGTAATGATTTTTCCTTATCCAGACAATGCGAGCCCTCTTGGCAGAGAGCACCTCAGATGGGTGCAGGCCGGGGAGTCCAGCCCGCTGATGACCGCTTAGTAGTGCCAGCAACGCAAACGTGGAAGTTTGTGAACTTGCCAGTTCCGCGGGCAAGACTCTCCGTGTGCTTTAAGAGCACAAAGGAGCCAGCTGCCTTTGGGGCGGAGCTTTTCCCCCGGGGACCTTGCAGGACATTGCTGTGGCCATTCTGGAAAATGCAGCAGTGACAGGGGGCATGTGATCAGTGGCGGGACTAGAGCCAGGGCTAACTGCCATCTCTTTCCCAAGACAGCGGGCAACAAACTCTAAACATTCAGCACTTCGGGACTGCACGAGGCTACTTCAGAGAGCCCCTGGGGAAAAAAAAAAAAAGTTGAAGCATATTGATTTTGGTACAAAAAATGTTGAAATCCATGCATGATTTTTTTCATAATACACATTTTCCATTTTGCAGTGCAGTGCCCTCGTGTTCGTGTGCCAGGGCTACCGTAACAGGACACCAGAGCAGCTGACTGACACAACACAATGGGTGTTCGTTTGCTTGCAGTTCTGAAGGTGGAAGCCTGAAGGGGTCAGCAGGGCTGCTGTCTTCCACGGCCTCTGCCTTGGCTCCAGACGCCACCTTCTCACTGTGTTCTCACACGCCCTTCACTGTGTGTGTGCAGCCTTGGGATTTCTCTCGAGTGTCCACATTTCCTCTTTTTTTTTTTTTAATTTAAAAAAAGATATTTATTTATTTGAAAGTTAGAGTTACACAGGAAGAGAGAGAGAGAGCAAATCTTCCATCTGCTGGTTCACTCCCTAGATGGCTGTAACAGAGCCAGGAGCTTCCTCTGGGTCTCCCATGTAGGTATGGGGGCCCATACACTTGGGCCATCTTCCACTGCTTTCCCAGGCCATTAGCAGGGAGCTGGATCAGAAGTGGAGCAGCTAGAACTTGAACTAGTGCCCATATGGGATAACCCACTAAGCCACAAAGCCAGCCCCCACATTTCCTCAATTTTAAAAAAATTGAGGGGCCAGTGCTGTCGCATAGCTGGTAAAGCTGCCATCTGCAGTGCCAGCATCCCATTTGGGCGCCAGTTCCAATCCCGGCTGCTCTGCTTCCTGTCCAGCTCTCTGTTATGGCCTGGGAAAGCTGTGGTAGATGGCCCAATCTTTGGGCCCCTGCACCCTTCTGGGAGACTCAGAAAGAGCTCCTGGCTCCTGGCTTTGGATTAACCCAGCTCTGACCATTGCAGCATATTAGAGAGTGAACCAGTAGATAGAACACTTCTCTCTCTCTCTCTCTCTCTCTCTCTCTCTCTCTCTGCCTCTGTCTGAAACTGTGCCTTTCAAATAAATAAATAAATCTTTTAAAAAATTATTTATTTGAAAAAGCGACAGAGAGAGAGAGAGAGAGAGAGAGAAAACTTCCATCTGCTGGTTCTCTCCCCAGATGGCTGGGCCAGACTGAAGCCAGGGTCCTTGAACTCCATCTGCGTGTCCCATGATGGGTGGCAGAGACACATGCATGGGGTCCATCATCTGCTGCCTTTAGGTGCATTAGCAGGAAGTCGGGTTGGAAGTGGAGGACCGGGGCCTGAAGTTTGATTCTAGCATGGGATGTGGGCTTCGCCTGCTGAGCCACAGCACCCACCCCCACATTTCTTCTCCTTCTTCATCTAAGATTTTTTTTTATTTATTTATTTGAAAGGCAGAGTTACAGAGAGAGAGGAAGGGAGGGAGAGACAGAGGTCTTCCATCTGCTGGTTCACTCCCCAAATGGCTGTAATGGCTGTGGGTGGGCCAGGCCAAAGCCAGGAGCTCAGGGCTTCTTCTGGGGCTTCCACATGAGCTCAAGGGCCCAAGGAGTTGGGCCAGTCTCCTCTGCTTTCCTAGGTGCATTAGCAGAGAACTGGAACAGCTGGGACTCAAACCAGTGCCCATATGGGATACCAGTGTTTCAGGCAGTGGCTTAACCCACTGCGCCGCAACGCCAGCCCCACCAGCTCCATATTAATTGCCCCCAGGCCTCCCACATCCAGTCTCGCTGGCAGGACAGCCCAGTGCCCCCTTCCTGGTAATGCACTGTGACTCTGTGCCCTGTCATTCCTGGGAGGCTGGGGGAAGGGTCCAGGGACCACTTTGCATTGTGGTGTGAATCTACAATTCCTCAAAAATAAAAGGTATATGAGGACAGTGTCTAGAAGGAAGAGTTGTGTGAAATCTGGTGTTTTCTTGCATGCTGGAATGGCTGTGGTTAAGGATACTGTGTTTAACGCTTCAGAGTAGCTACGAGAGGACTTTGTTCTCACCACAAAGAGATGATAAAAGTATGACGTGACTTATCTACATTCATTGATTTGATTCTTACACAAGGTACATATACACTGAAAATCACACTGCCCTCCATAAACACATACAATCGTGTGTCACTTAAAAACAAGACCTATGGGGCCAGCCTTGCGGGGCAGCAGGTTAGGCCAGTTAATACCAGGATGGAGTCCCAGCTTCTTGGCTTCAGCCAGGCCCAGCCCTGGCCATTGTAGCTTTCTGGGTAGTGAGCCAGCAGACTGAAAATGTCTTCCCTTTCTCTCTCTCTTTCTGCCTTTCAAATAAATAAATAAATAAAAGTACATATGTAGGGGCCGCCGCTGTGGCATAGCAGATAAAGCCACCACCTGCAGTCCCAGCGTCCCATATGGGTGCTGGTTTGAGTCCCGGCTGCTCCACTTCTGATCCAACTCTCTGCTGTGGCCTGGGAAAGCAGGAGAAGATGGCCCAAGTGCTTGGGCCCCTGCACCCACAGGGGAGACCCAGAAGAAGCTTCTGTCTTCTGGCTTTGGATCAACTCAGCTCCGGCCATCTGGGGAGTGAACCAGCAGATGGAAGACCTCTCTGCCTCTGCTTCTCTGTAACTTTGTCTTTTAAATAAAATAAAATAAAATAAATCTTTAAAAAAAGAAGTACATGGCCGGCGCCGCGGCTCACTAGGCTAATCCTCCGCCTAGCGGCGCCGACACACCGGGTTCTAGTCCCGGTCGGGGCACCGGATTCTGTCCCGGTTGCCCCTCTTCCAGGCCAGCCCTCTGCTGTGGCCCGGGAGTGCAGTGGAGGATGGCCCAGGTGCTTGGGCCCTGCACCCCATGGGAGACCAGGAGAAGCACCTGGCTCCTGGCTCCTGCCATCGGATCAGCGCGGTGCGCCGGCCGCAGCGCGCCGGCCGCGGCGGCCATTGGAGGGTGAACCAACGGCAAAGGAAAACCTTTCTCTCTGTCTCTCTCTCTCTCACTGTCCACTCTGCCTGTCAAAAAAAAAAAAAAAAAAAAAAAAAAAAAAAAAAGAAGTACATGTGTATAAAATTAAAGAAAAGGACATTTCATACTTAAAAAACATTTTTGTTAGAATTGTATCTATGAAACACATGATATCTGTTCTCTTTATATTAATTTAAAAATTTAAAACGAAAATGTGCATTTATTTACAGAGAAAAAGAGGCCCCTGTCTGAGCCAGGCCCGGCTGATGCGTCTCGCACATGTCTCTTGCTGCCCGTAGCCCTGCTGTATCCGGGAGACAAGATCATCTTCCAGAGGGACCAGGTGCGCCCGCTGCGGCAGCCCGGCGGCTACTACTCCGACAAGAAGGCCTTCGCTTGGAACCGGTCGCTGCACCTGGCCCAGGGCCTCGAGCCCGGCTACAAGAAGATGGACAAGACCGACAAGCTGAGCACCGCATCTGCTTTCTCCCTGCCCTTGGCCGCCTGCCCACTGCCACCCCTTCGTGTGCAGGGACTGGCACTCCGATGTGCTTGCGGTGTCCTGTGCCAGTGTCACCTGTGGCAGGTGTCTGAGGAGCAGGGTCAGCTCCCCTGTCCTGCACGCAGTGCTGCAGATGCCAGGGTCACCTTCTTCTCCTCGGAGAGCCACTGGGCCCGGCCGAGGACAGCGGGGGCCCTTCTCCACCTGCCGCGCTGCAGGGGCAGAGCTGGAAGCAGGCTCGCACTGCCAGGAGAAGAGAGCCTCCCTGGGGCCTGGCCTGGCTCTCAGACCAGCCTGTGCCTTTTCTTAGATCACCTCCTTGGGTGATCCAAAGCCTAGACCACCCAGATCTGGGCCGGGCAGTAGGCGACAACCCGTGGCAGCATCAGTGTGTTTCTGCAGGTGGAAGAACATAGTGACACCCCTGCAGGGGGATGGGCAGCCTGGGAGGGAGGGAGGGAGGGAGGGCGGCTATCTGGTCAGATGCCATGAGTGGGAGGGGCCCATGCCCCCCAGCACCTGATGTCACCATCAGCTGCCCGCTGTGGTCGTGTGTCCAGAATGCTGGGGAAGGCTGCGGCTGAGTAGAGATCAGTCAGGCCTTGGGCTGAATGGACAAGTTACTCTACTGTTGGCCTCAGCATCTTCATGTGTAAAATGGGCCTGACAGCATCCCCTCCCTCCCCTCCCCTCCCCGTCCTCCCCTCACCCCTGCCCCCAAGCCACACACTCACAAGCACAGGACAGATCCACAGCGCAGACAGCACCCCGTCACTGCCATCGTTGACTGTGCCGCTCCTCTCCCCCTGCCCTGGCCTCCAGTGCAGAAGCAGGCCCAGGCCTGCGGGTGGGCCTTGTCCACAGCCCTGAGCACGGGCCAGGCAGGTGGTGGCCTAGAGGGCCTTTCTGATCACCCGGTGACCGCCTTCCAGTGCCGGGTGGCTGGGCTGGTTCCGAGCCATGAACTCAGCGCAGGGTGAGAAGCTAGGGAAGAGGATGTTGTCCTTAGGCTGGATAGAGCTGTAACCGATAAAGACAGGCCCTAGGTCAAGGAGAGACCTTAACACTGCCTTGCGTCACAGACTGAGCTGTGAAAGATTCAAGGCCAGTTGTACAAGGAGACTGCAGAAAGTTCATGGGAGATGGAATTCAACTTTGGCGAAAAATTTCAAAATCCATGCTTCTGTGGGATCTCCAGACAGCTTGCAGTGTTGTGAGCCTGGCCCGGCTCTGGGAAATTAGTTTTTATCACCGTTGTCCTGGAGGGGAGCGGGAGTCCGGGCCCCTAAAGACAGATCTGGCTGCAACTTCTAACTCAACACCGGTCCTGACTCCCCCGGAGGCCTCCGCTCGGGGAGGAAGTGGCCCGTCCCAGCAGGCCGGGTTTTGCAGCCAGCAGAGCTGCCCCAGGCCTGCTGCATGTTCCCCTGGAGCCAGAGTCCAGGCCTCACCCCTGAAAGAAGAAATTCTCCTTCCAGAGCTGTGGTTTGAGTCTAAAATGGCGCACCCCGCTGCCCCCGGGCCTGCTTCCCGAGCCCCTTAGGGCGGCCTCCCCACCTGACCAAACGCCTCTCTCCCCACTAGGAAGACGCCGAAGAAGCTCAAGAAGATGCTCTTTAAGGAGTTCGAGGAATTCACCAGGTCTGCAGCAGCCCTTCAGTCTGGAGGAGGGAGGGCGCACTTCCTGCTGGGGGGGTGCCCGGAGCACAGCCCCTGGGGCTCGGTGCCCAGCGCCGAGACGGTGAAGCATGCGCAGAGCGGCTGGCGGGCGCTGCTCTGGGCGCAGTCCCTGCGTCAGCCCATCCCGGACCTCTATAGCCCTCCCTGCGCAGTGAGTGACAGCTGCACACCCACTTGATGGACGGGGAAGCTCACTTCTCCCTCAGAGTCACCGTCCCCTGAGTGGCAGAGCAGGGACTTGAACCCTGGGCTGGCTCCAGAAGCTGCTGTCCAAACAGCACTTGGGAAGGTTCCTGGAGGACAGACAGCGTACGCTGGAGGGCTTGGGTTTCAGAGACAGCCCACTGGGAGTCAAGTTTGCACTTAGCCGCCTGCTCCCTGGATAACCCCGGGGCAACGACAGCCTCTCTGGGCCTCTGGGTCCTCCCTGGGGAGGTGGACCGGACGACAGCGCCTGCGTGTAGTGCTGTGGCGTGGCCGGCCCTGAGGCGCGGCAGTTCTCAGCACAGCACTAAATCTGTCTTGGTCCCAGCTGGCGTGCTGTGCTGAGGAGGAGCCCCGGCCCGGGCCTGGCCGCCGTGACAGTGCCCCCTTCCCCCGCCGTGTCTCCTCCTTTCCAGGAAGCTGAAGGGCAAGAGGTCCAGCGGCTCCCAGCAGCACACCTGCCCCAGTTCCTTCTGGCCGGGTCAGCTTCTGGACAAGCTGCAGCTGTACCTGCCCACGGTGACCGCGGACGGGAGCCTGGTGCTCTTCAGCCGTGTGCGTCCCGAGCACCATGCCTATCCCGCCACCTACCACCCTGACCGCTGGTGGCCTATGAAGGACAACAGCTACATGGTCCACGCCTACTATGATTCCACCAAGGTCTACCACATTGACTAGAGAGGCCCAGGCGCCGCCGACCCAGGCGTCCGTGGCCCAGAGCCCTAGGCCTTGTTTTGGGGCCTGTGTCTCCGAGGGTGGATGTGGACAGGGAGAGATCGTGTGTTTGACCCCTTCCCCCTCCTGAACTCTGCCCTCAGAAATAAACCAGGTTGGCGTTCTCCCACGCCTCCTGTGACCCAGCTGGTGTGAGTTCTTAGGAGCCAGGGCCAGAGCCTGCGGCTGGGGGTGTTCAGCAGACCTCCCCCCGGAATGTGTCAGGGATGCCCACATGGCACCCCTGGGCCCTGCAGTGCCCGCGGGGAAGTGGGCTTGAGCCAGTCCAGCCCACAGGGTCAACACCTTCCAGGCTCCAGCCTCAACCCCACCACCTGCCGGCTGCAGCAGCCCGGGCAAGACAGTTCACGGCCAGAGGTCCCCTCCAGCGCCCCTCACGGCTGGACTCTCCCGGCTGTGGACACCACCATGCTCCCCCCCGCCCCCCAGCAACCCCAGCCCGCCTCACTGCCGCCCTCGCCTCACCTCTGAGCTCTTGCTGTCTGGAGCACCTGTGACATCTGTGGCGTGTGAGGTGAGGAATCGAGGTTTCCGTGTTTTCTCCTGCTTCTTGATTTTCACAGTCTTTAAAACAAGCGCTAATGGGGCAGGCACTGTGGCACAGCAGGCAGAGCCACTGCTTGCAACACCGGTGTAGTGGTCGTGGAGGGGAGGCGGTGCCGGCAGCGAGTCTCGGGGGTTCTTTCCTTAGCTCAGGATGGAAAGAAAAGGCCGGAGACGATCTGCAGAGACAGAAACCTTCATTTGACAGAAAAGCGTCTGGTCCGAGGGAGAGCAGGCGGAGTGCCCGAGGGGGCGCTTGCTTGGGTCCCAGGTGTTTAATGCATGACTGCCTGCTCACTGGGTCATTCTGTTTGGTGCTCAGTGGACAGGGGTTTCACATACAGCATATGGATTGGCTTGGGGCTCAAGGACAAAGTGGGGGTCTCCTGGAGGCGGCCTGCCTCTCCCTTAAGAGTTCAGCCCCCTCCTCTGCCAACTCTGGGTGAAAGATTACAGCCAACCTGGAGTTGTGGTTTAGAGCCGCATGGTCACACAAGATAGGGTGTCTCCTGGAGCCGGTCTGAGTCTCCCCAGGGGCACAGCCCCTTCCCCTGTCAGCTCCGGGTGAGACTGCACCCACCCTGACGGTGTGATTTAAAGCTAATCCTCTACCTGTGGCGCTGGCACCCCGGGTTCTAGTCCCGGTTGGGATGCCGGATTCTGTCCCTGTTGCTCCTCTTCCAGTCCAGCTCTCTGCTGTGGCCCAGGAGTGCAGTGGAGGATGGCCCAAGTGCTTGGGCCCTGCACCCACATGGGAGACCAGGAGAAGCACCTGGCTCCTGGCTTCGGATCGGTGCAGCGTCGGCCGTGGTGGCCATTTGGGAGGTGAACCAACAGAAGGAAGACCTTTCTCTCTGTCTCTCACTCTCACTAACTCTCCTGTCAAAAAATGTAATAATAATAATAAAAAGCCATGAGATCACACATGGCACATAGAAGCTGTCAGTGGGGGAGATGCCAGTTGGCCTGGAGACAGGCTTTGCAGCCACAGTGGGCAGCCTGCTTGTGATGGATGTCCCCATGCCTCCAGCCCCAGTGCACGGCCTCAACCAACATCCCAAATGGGTGCCATTTCAGTCCCCCTTGCTCTGTCACTACAAAAGAAGCCATGGAAGAAAGAATTCAGGCTGAGACGGAGAGCGGAGTGATACGGCTTTACTGGGGACAGAGAGCGAGCGGCCAGTCTCTCAGAACAGGGGAGAGCGAGGGTACAGGTTGAGTGGAGAGAATGCACTGGGCAGGCCAGGCGGGCGGCTCAGCCGAGAGGCCGAGGGCTGAGCGCGCAGTCTGTTTGGACGCCCTAGGTTTTTAAGGGAGCCTGTTTGCCCTTCCCCTCTCCATGTTATCAGGTCAGGTAACCCATTTGGTCCTGAGGACAGGATTCTCCTGGGAGCTGTCCTTGGGGAAAGGCTAGGACCCCTTGGAGGTTACCAGGTCTGAGCAGGACTGAAGTGCAAAACGCTGGGCTTCTGGAGCTTCCACAGTTGGTGCTGGTCTTCAGGCCTGTCTCACACGTGGGCTGAACTCCCAACCTAACAGCTCCACCTCTGACCCAGCTCCCTGCTAATGCACCTGGGACAGCAGTAGAAGATAGCTGAAGTGCTTGGGCCCCTGCACCCACTTGGGGGACCTGGAAGAAGCTCCTGGCTTTGGCAGGCCCAGCCGTTACGGCTGTTGGAGAATGTGTTGGAGAATGGACCACTGGATGGAAAACCACCCCCCCCAACTCTTTCAAATAAATAAATCTAAAAAAAAAAAAAAAACCAAAAACCTCTAAGTCAAACAAATCAAAAACAATTTACAAAACTAGGCACAGTTGGCAAAGTGTGGACTTCGGAGGCAAATCTCCAAGCTTCATTTTCCACAGACGTAAAATGGAGAAAGTAACAGGACCACCATGTAGGATCGTGGTTAAAAGCTACCCCACGGGCTGTTCCCTGATACAGACAACCGCTATATGCACACGGCGCCAACTCGCGGGAGCCGTTTTGTTCCCTCCTGGCCACGAGGAGGAGCACTTTGCAGTAGGCCAAAGGCGGGCGGAAACTGTCTGAATTCGGCTTCACTTCTGGCGGAAGTAGATACGCCTCCACCCGGTTTCATTTCAGAAAGAATTTCGAGTTTTCTGCGTAGTACTAAGGGCAGGTAAGACGCATTTTCGGGTACATTCGTAGGTGTGTAAAACACAGGTATGCCCAGCATTTTTGGCACCATTAGTTCTGTGACATCTTTATTCTCTTTGCGGGACACGGACCCGGAAGTACTCGCCCTTTCCCTGGCAGCACCCAGAGGTTACATCCCATCAGCCTTTGCGCACCCCCCTCCCTTCTCTTCCTCGGCGCTGCCTCCGGAGGTGGCTGCCCTCTCCTCGGTGAGTGTTAATCGTGGGCCATCCGCGTTTCTGCGGCCTCCCTCGGGCCCTGTGGCGCCCGGGTGAGGAGGCCTCCCCTTCCGCGGCTCCTCTCTACGGGCATTGCCCTAATCGGCCTGCTGGAGCCTGCACGGGGACCGCGAAGCGACCCGGCCGTGGGGAGGCCTGGGCTCCTGGGGCGGCTTGGGCTGCGGAGGCCGCCCGGGGTCCGTCCGAGCTGCGAATAGCGGCTCAGCGTTCTGGTTGGGGCCGCGGGGTGACCAGAGGGGCCCCGGGAGCGTGGGTGCCGGTGTTCGCGGGTGACCGCCCGTGTGTGTTAACGCGCCGCCGCAGCGCGGCGCCTCTTCCGCGTCTGCGCTCGGGGTGGCGGGGCTGCGAGTGGACTTGCTTTAGGGAGCTGGCTAGTGTCCGCCAGTGCGTCCGCGTCCCCGGTCCCGGCGCGTGCGGCTGCTGCGCTTCGGATCCGGGGCCCTGCCCTGCAGCGGAGGGCGGCCCGCGTGCTTGGGCTTAGGAAAGACGTAGCGCCTTGGCCTTGGAGAGCGCTCTTTCCTGGGCATTGACTTGGTGCCGAGCACTGGGAGGCGCTCGCTGTGCCCCCGCAGCGCCACGGAGCAGGTGAGGCGGCCCCCGCTCAGGCTCGAGGAGGTCGGCCCGGGCCGTCAGTGCCCCTTGCACGCCCAGGAGGTGCTGGGGTCAGTTCCGTTCCAGGTCGGCGGGTGGGCGAGGGGGCCCCTGACCTCCCGGGATCGCGTCTGGAGAGTGCCCAGTCCTCTGCCAGCTTCGGAAGCGGGAGGGAGAGCAAGGCCGCGGAGCACCCATTCCATTCCCAGCTTGCTCGGTAGCTGGTGACTGGAAGACCCTCTGCTACAGGGCCCGCGGCCCAGCGGGAGAGCCCGTCCGCGGAGGCCTGAGCTAACTCGGGGCTGCTGCTGCTACAGGCACCATGGCCGCCCTCAGACCCCTGGTGAAGCCCAAGATCGTCAAAAAGAGGACCAAGAAGTTCATCCGCCACCAGTCGGACCGCTATGTCAAGATTAAGGTAGGTGCTTCGGGGTGGACGTGGACGTGGGTGACGGGAGAGTCGGCTCAGCGCCACCTCTGAGCCCGGTTTCCCGAGGAACCCTCCGGAGTGTGCCTTGTTGGGGGTCAGTGCTAGGGGACACAGCTGTTGGATGGTGTTGAGGGGTTTGGGTTGGTGGCCTTGTGACAGCGGGAGAGATGGATTATCCAGGTCCAGCCCTGCCTGTGTGTGCACAGCTCTCACATCCGGTTGGAGTCCTTCCTGCGTTTCCTGGTGGTCAGGGCCAGGAGCTCTTACCTCCCCACACACACACCCAGAAAACGTGGAGGTCATGAAGGCCTTTTTTTTTTTTTTTAGACAGGCAGAGTGGACAGAGAGAGGGAGAAAGGTCTTCCTTTGCCGTTGGTTCATCCTCCAATGGCTGCCGCGGCCGGCGCACTGCACTGATCCGATGGCAGGAGCCAGGTACTTATCCTGGACTCCCGTGGGGTGCAGGGCCCAAGCACCTGGGCCATCCTCCACTGCACTCCCGGGCCACAGCAGAGAGCTGGCCTGGAAGAGGGGCAACCGGGACAGAATCCGGTGCCCCGACCGGGACTAGAACCCGGTGTGCCGGCGCCGCAAGGTGGAGGATTAGCCTAGTGAGCCGCGGCGCCGGGCAGTCATGAAGTCTTGTTAGGCGGCTGCTGCTTGGCATTCTTGCACGTGGTGGTGGAACCAGGACATGAGCCCGTGTCCTGTTCTGTGTCCTTTCGTCCCCAGAGGGGAGACGGGGCGGTCTGCCCAGACACCCGGCTTACCGCTGTGGTTTCTCGCAGCGTAACTGGCGGAAACCCAGAGGTATTGACAACAGGGTGCGGAGAAGATTCAAGGGCCAGATCTTGATGCCCAACATTGGCTACGGGAGCAACAAGAAGACCAAGCACATGCTGCCCAGCGGCTTCCGGAAGTTCCTGGTCCACAACGTCAAGGAGCTGGAGGTGCTGCTGATGTGCAACAAGTGAGTGGTCCCACCCCTGGGTTCCGGAGCGAGCCTCCGCCCCGGGCACGGGCAGCAGGAGCCCGGCAGCCTCTGGGGTCTGAAGTGGAGCCTAGCAGGATGTTAGAGAATCTCATGGGGTCGCAGTATTTCCTTGGCTGGGGGAGAGAGGTCCTCGCAGCAGAGGGGCTGGCGTGGTGCAGCAGGGTCCGCCGCCGCTTGCTACACTAGCCTGCACGGAAGGGCTGCTCTGCTTCCTGCTCCTGGGCAGGCAGCAGGGAGCCGCATGCGGGAGGGCAGCTGGAGGTCAGGCTCCCGCCTGGGTTAGCCTTGTCTTTGGGGAGCGAACACTGAGACTTCCTTTGACACCACGAACGCTACGTTCGTTTCTAGAACGTTGCAGCCTCATGCCTAAGGGGCCTTGATTCCCCAGTCTGCAGGTGCTGAGGCAGGAGGATATAGTCTGGTGGGACCTGGGGGGCAGAAAGGAGTGGGGAGGGACACGGGGCTTCTCGGGGTGAGCTCGGAGGGTGGGAGACGGCCTGGAGTGGGAGCGCATGGGCAGCTTGCTCGGGGAAGCAGGATTGGAGGGAGTGTGTCTGACTGATAAACACAAGGCAGTTTTTTCTCATGCTGTAAGTTGAAGTCCAAACACTGCGTTTAGAAAGTAGGCTGTTGGCCAGTATCCCAGTGACTGGGTTCCACAGCCGCTTCTGCCTCCAGTGTCCTGCGGTGCAGACCCTGGTGTGGGCATTTGGGGAGAGAACCAGCGGATAGGGAAAATTCTATGCCTGTAAAATAGTCTTAAAGCAAAGGACGTGGAGGGAGCCTGATGTTTGTGTGCTTGTTTACAAGGGTCTAATCCATAGCGATTGCAAACACAAGAAAATAAATCTTTTATATATATATATATATATTTATTTGAAGGCAGAGTTAGAGGTCTTGTGTCCACTGGTTCACTCCTTGAATGGTTGCAGGGACTGGGGCTGGGCCAGGCCAAAGCCAAGAACCTGGAACTCCATCCCAGTCTCCCTAGCAGGTGCAGAGGCCCAAACACTTGGGCCATTTTCTGTGCTTTCCCAGGTGTGTCAACAGGGAGCTGATGAGTCGTGTTCTGATTTGACTGTTTTTTGGTTGATAATTTAATGGTTGAAATGCTGAAAATTTCATTTATAAAAAGAATTATGGTGATGCCCAAACCATAATGAACAGGTTGAGAGTTGAGTGAAGACAACACAGTACCTGATATATAGCAAAAAGGGTTGGCACTGCTGGCTGCCGTGCGTGTTCCGAGGGTAGTGAGACTGTGTTTAGAAAGACTGGCAGAAGGGCTGCCCTTTGCGCGGGCAAGTTCCGTGCCTGGGCATTTATCCCTGAGTGAGTGACAGCAGGCAGGCTTTATGAAGCGTGGTCAATGGGAAATAACCAAGACCGTGACGTGTAAACCGTGGGTGCTGGCTGGGAGCTTGCACGTCTGTGCCGTGTGACTCCTGGAGCAGTGGGAAGTGCCAGGGGCGGGCACGTGTGATGTGTCAGCCACGTGGCGGGTGGGATTATTGAAAATGCAGATGGATGAGGGCGAGGGAGGAGCAGGTGGAAAGTGCGATGCAGCTTAAGGCTTCCTGAAAACTGTGGAGACAGACGATACCTGCTGCCTGCTTGGAACTGGCATGGGCTCCCAGCTGCAGAACGGCGTTTCTTTGTGGTTTGGTTCGGTTTGGCCCAGATTTGCTTGTGCAGAGAGTGGGGAAGCTTTTCCTGGACAAGGGGGCGCTCCCTGAGACCCAGAAGGATGGAGGGAGCCCTGGGCTGGTGCTCCTGGCCCTGTTTGCTGTGGAACTCGGGAAATCACTTCCTCTTCTGTGAACTGGCGGAATTCTTGGATAGGGCTGTGGGCATTCACTGGGCGAGGGCGGTGCTAGTGTTTCCTCACTACCGTCCCTCTCACTGCCAGGGAGCATTTGGCTGGTACAGGGGGATTGGGGGCGTCCGGGTCTGGGGGAGCAGCCATGCCCCAGCGCCCTTTCCAGTGGGCTGTGTGACTGCAGGGAAAGCGACCACAGCCAGGGCCTCCCCGTGGGACTTCCCAGGCCTATGCAGGCCCAGGCCTGCTCCTCACCCCTTGTTCTCTTCCAGATCCTACTGTGCAGAGATTGCTCACAACGTCTCCTCCAAGAACCGCAAAGCCATTGTGGAGAGAGCGGCCCAGCTGGCCATCAGGGTCACCAACCCCAACGCCAGGCTGCGCAGTGAAGAAAATGAGTAGGCGGCTCGGGTGCGCATTTTATTTGTGTTTAAATAAAACCTTGAAAACCGGTCTCTTCCTTAACTGACAGCTGTTGAAGCGCCCTGTGGCGGTGGAGGCTTCCCTGGGAAGGAGCAGGTAAAGGATGTGGGGCTCTTCCAGGAGCCTGGCCACAGGTGCGCAGAGCAGCCGTGCCCAGCTCTTGGGGCTGGGGAGCAGGGGAGGTGGGTGCTGAGCCGGGCTGCAGCAGCCTGTAGCTCCCAGGCTTCATTCCTGGCCTCCCAGTGTCCCGGTGGAGAGAATGCACAGGAAGCTTCCTCCGGCTCAGAGGAGCCCGCACCTGCTGCCCAGAAATACGCGGCAGCCGACACACTGCTGCTGCCTCAGGCCCGAGGCGGGGACAGCCGCCCCACCCCCCCCCACCCCCCCAGCAGGGAGACCCGGGGCTCCCAGCAGCAGCTAGGGTGGAGCGGGCTTTGCTAGGGGCGCTCTTCCTGCCCGCAGGTCAGCCCCTTGGTGCCACAGGTAGCGTCCGTCTTCACGTTCACAACGGAGTGAAGCATTTACATTTTCTCCAAATTGACCAGGGATGTGTTCAAAAGAAGTGCAGGAAGGACGTGGAGGAGACGGTCACAGGTTATTTAGAATCTGTTTTATTAACCTGAGATGTCCAGGAAACACTTCACCCTGTCCTACCGCTGTTTAGATCTGTGCATTCAGAGCCTCTTTGGATGCCGGTGCCTTACGGGTTCCCCGTTGGCCAGCTGAGTTTCGGTGTTTGAAACACTAGTCCAGGCCTGCCCAGTCGCCTACTGTGTCGGTGCTGACGGTTTCCTACGTTTTTTCCTGAGATGCCCGCCGGAGCACAGTCCTGTGGGTTCGTGTCCAGTCCAGTGAGGCGGAGGAGTGGGGGTGCCGGGGGCGCGGCCCAGCCTGCAGGGGACAGATGGAGAGGTTTGGGGACACTGCCTTGCCCTGCCCCTCTGCCTCCTGGGGGGGCTCCCGTCCTAGAGGGGGGCTCACCTGGGAGGGCCCAGCTAGCTGAGCTCCATCGAGTCTGTGCCGGGGGCTGAAGCAGAATCCTTCTGGATGCTTTCAAAAAGGGTGTTGAGTTCGGGGTTGGACCGGATTTGGGAGGAGAAGTCGGCCATGATGGGGCTCTTGCCCACTTCTGGGATGGTCAGCAGGGCGGCCACGGCCCTCATGGCGGAGCGCTTCAGTTCGTCTTGTTTCTCAAACTCCTGCTTCACGGACCCAGCCTTGACCTGTAGGGAGGGAGGAGCGTCCTTTCCGGAGCCTGGCTGTGCCGCCTGCCCGGCCACTGCCTCAGCTCTGCCCACCCTGTGCTCCCCACGGGGCTTTCTGCCATGAGTTCCGCTCCAGTGTAGACTGCCCGAGGCTGATTGTGTGCTGACGGGTGGCTCTGTAGGCGCTTGGCTGCAGCCTCACCAGCAGCAGGCGCCTGGCCAGCTCCGCGTGTGCCTGAATCCTAACAGTCCAGCATCCCGCACACCCCACCAGGAGAGGCGGCACCTTGCTGTCTGTCGGCTCTTCCACCCAATCTAATAAATGGAGTAGCACTGGTATTCCAGCAGTAACAGAGTCAGAGGTCACAAACAGCCTGCAGCCGGTGAAGTCCAGTTTCCTCGCCCAACAGCTTACCAGGAAGCTTTTGGCTTTAGAGCCTGTAGGTCAGCAGTGTGGCAGGGACTGGACACTGCCGGGCACTGCCCGCGGGGCGAGCCTCCACCAGTTCAACTCCCCTCTTGAGGACTGGGAGTTGTCAAGCTCCCCACCCGTTCAAAACCCAAGTTCTTTGATTCAGTGGGTACTTAACAGGCTGTCCACTGGGCACAGCCGCAGCTTTTCACAAGCTGTCCGTGAGGTCCGCCAGGCCAGCAGCTCGGGCCTGTGTCCACCAGCCGCCCGAGTCTGACCCTGCTTCTCAGCCAGGTTTGAGCAAACTGACCATAGGGGATGCATCAAACCGGTGCTGTTTCCTTCCTACCTCTAGCCCAGGCCTGGCCCTCAGGGAGTGCTCTAGCTCTGGCCCAACTTCCCCTCTTGGCCTCCGTTCCCTGCAGGTGCACACGGGGGCTTACCTTGGCGGTGCAGGTGGCCCTGAGCGGCTCGATGAGCCGGTCCACCCTCTGCAGCACGGGCGCAGGACACAGGGTCGCCAGCCGGGCAAGCATGATGAAGGTGAGCATCTGCAAGGAGACAGGCAGGGTTTGGTGTGGCCCGGGCCCAGCCCAGAGACCACACCCAGACCAGTGCAAACCCCGCCCACGGCACGCCTGGCCTCAGTTCCCTTTGGAAGCCACACCCCTCTGAGGCGGCTCAGATCAAGAGAGCAGCAGGGAGGGCAGGGCTGGGCGCACAGTGCCTGGCGTTCTCAGACCTCACTTTCTCAACACCGAGGCCTCAGAACCGAACCGAACCTGTGCACCAACCACATGGCCAGGGGCCTGGCTGCCGCTGAGGGGTCACGATGACCGCTTTGTTCATTTTGCTGGAAAGGCAGAGAGATCAACGGCTGGTTCCCTCCCCGATGCCAACACAGCTGGGGCTGGGCCAGGCTGAAGCCAGCAGCCAGAACTCCATCAGGGGCCCATGGGAGGCAAATTCTAGGCCAGCTCCGGAGCACAGACGTTGGTGTGGAAAGGGGGTGGGCACCTGCTGCATGGCACCATGAATGAACGCGGTGCCCCCAGACCACGCCCAACACGGGGAGAAGGTCCCGGGTGTGCTTTGTGTACCACAACCC